TGCATTCTGGATGTGAATAATAAAATAAGGGAATGAAAACAGGTCAAAAATAGCTCAGAAATAAGAGTTCAGGAGAAAAGTTTTGAAGCATAAAAAGAAGAGTCCCGAGAGACAGCAGTAAAAGAAAGAATGATTCGAGTGAAATCAGGCTGTGGTAAAAAGACACATAATGTACTACAGTCCCTCTCCATCCCCCTTCCTGCCAGATCTGACTCAGACTTGCCAGATGCTTCCAGGTTTATCCTAAAAAAGTATACTGGAGGCAGTGGAAGAGAAAAAGGAGAAGGATTTCTTAGAGAGAGGATATTTTATATCCCTCTGCAGAAAGGAAGCAGCCGTGATGAGATAACATTGCTGAACTAATGCTTCTCACTGTGCTTATCATGAGAGCAATAAGGTTAATTCTGTAGTGAGGGCAGCAAAGTACTGTCATTTGGTGAAGGGAGGAGGATGGACAGACCAACAGATGCCATTTTTTATCTGACAGTATCAGCCAGAAGCTGCAAAAAATATCAGCAGTAGCCAAGCACGGGGAGGGAGGGGAAGACAGACTGTATTTTAAGCTATTTTGTATGGAAAATATAAACACTAATAATTATTAACAACATGGACCAAAGTAATAGTGCGACCAGTTGAGACACAATGGATGAAATGTGTCACAAACCACACGTTGACACCAACGAGACTCACAGCCAGCAACAAATAAACTTTCCTGAAAGCAAAGGTGTTTGCCCTGGGACTTGGGGCTGGTCCTGTCACTCATTGGGAGGACTCTGGAGCGATGGAAGAAATAGTGTGAAACTCAAAATGTTTTGGAAAGAACTGACTGACTTAAATGTTATTCCTTCTGTTTGGAAGGAAAACACAACTCCTGCGGTTTTCTTGGAACAGGATGCAGAAAACAATCATCTGGAGTGCCAAGTGCCTCTGTCCTAAGGCTAGCGACCAGGGCAATGTGGCCTCATTAACAGAAAATAATCACTTTCTGGGTGTTGGAAACGTTGTTCAATGTTGGCATGTTCTTGATCAAATGGGTCGTTTCAGTGGATCATTAAAATCTTCATGGTGCTTCTTTGCAAAAGAGGAAGTGTCATCTCCTGCAACCCCTGGCCAATTTCCAACATACCTATTTGCCTACTAAGTTAGTAAGCTGATTGCAGGTCTCAGTATTTTATCATAAGTCTTGTTATATTTGGTGGGTTTTTTCCTTGAAAATCCAGGTTTGGGAGTCCTGTGACTATATAAGCATGTAATCTACACCATATTTAAAAATGTTATTGTGCTGCAATGCTTGAAAACGTAAAGCTTAATAAAGGAAGAAGGAAAGAAACCAAGATCAATCTTTTTTAACACGATTTTTTGTGTTTTGAATGCCTGATTATCCTTGAATGGTCGTTACTGATGCTATCATCTCTTACATTTTAATGAATACAACACAGTTCTCTCAACAGCTACTGTGATGAGATACAAAAGCAGAGGTGTCTCTCTGCTATTCAGGGATCTCACTGTGCTTAATTTTAGGCAAAATGTGCAATAATAATAAAGGAGTTTAGACACTTAAAAATTCAGTGATGCTTCGGGGCTGAGATTTTTCCCCTAGTTTACTTCAGATCAGTTAAGCAGCCGCACATGCCCGCACCACTTTAGGTCATTTTAGAAGCCACTGGGCTTAAAACCACTACATGTAAACTCAAGGATCACACAGGGGAAACGAGGTCTCCTGAGCTGTCACCAAACATGCAGCGAGTTGCAGAGCTCTTTATAAAATCAGCTAGAATCTTACCTACTTACCCCCCCAAAAAAATGCATACAAAGTCCAGCAGGCTCCGAAGACAATGCTGGCCGGCAGTAGGCTCAGTGATGGGGATTTCTGCGGCTCCAGCGAGCTCCTTGCCTGGCTCCTGCCCGTTGTTTCTCAAGGTCAGGCTCAGAGTGGCTTTCTGTTGGATTGCTCCCAAATTTCTGCCTCAACACACAGGCTTGCAAGACCGTAGCCCAGCCCCGTGCTGGGGAAGCGGAGAAACCTGCCAGCTCCATCCTGCCATCCTGCCGCAGGCATCCCTCCAATTAGCGATCCCAATTACGCTAAGGGACTTGACGGGAGTTTTACATGGTGCGTGGAAGGGGCCCTACTCACCGCTCCTCATCCCGGAGCCGTCTGGGGAACAGTCCTGCTGACGACATTAATTAGCGTCTTTCAACAAAGTTTTGACACCAAGAGTCTACCGTTTTCACCAGTGGTGATGAAGAACATTTAAGCGAATGACGTCATTAGCCCAGCCTTGCTTACCTAGAGCCCTTGGGGACGCGTGCGGCCGTGCCGGCAGAGAGCTCCCAGCACTGGCGTGCCAATGGAGGCCAATTAAGCCCTAAGACAAGCCTTAAACTCCTCTGTGCTGAAGAAAGGGATGTTTTAAAGAGGGCAACATCACTGCTGATGGAGAGAACCCAGGAAAACACTGTAGTATCAGTTGCACAGACACAGCTGTGTTTTCACATGGCAAAGAAAGTACGGCAGGCACATCCATAAACATGGATATTCATTCAAAGGTAAATAGTTCTAATACTGATGCAGTAGTTGCAAGCTTAGCATAAAAAAAAGGTGTCGTACTACAACTCCAGGGCAACACTGCCTTAGTCCTTAAAACAACCTGGAACAGAAATAAAGATTGCTGCTGGGAAAATACCAGTCACCTTTCCCCAATGCCTTTGAAAAGAAGTGGTGTTATCTTTTTACGCAACTTTTTTACTTTATGTCAAAAACTTCGGTCCCTTGAACTGAGAAAGTGACCTCTTCTGGGAAGACACTGCGCTCCGTTTAACCCTGAGCATTATGTTCTTCTGTCAATCACTTCTTCCACCACTAGAGCAATTATTTTCTACAATAACCTTGCACTTGAGTCAATCCATACTCTGGGTTTCACCAGATAGCATTTTATCTCAGCAGTTTCTTGAGTCATCGTGATATGTTTGATACCCGGCGGAGGTTCTGTGCTTTGTATTCCCTTGGCCCAGAGGCACCAAGTACCTGAAGTTCTGCAGAGGCTTGTTACAAACCCACCGGCTGAACAAAACACCCTCTGCCATTACCGATAGAGCAGCGGACTGTAAATATTCAAGAGTTATTGCCCTGGTTTTCTAAATTATCTGCATGATGGCTGTCTCATGTAGCCTTACAGATGTACTCCTCACTTCTGTCCCTGCTGCTAGCTGTATTCTGCCACTAGCTATCCAAAAACCTCAGGTGGTTTTAGTCAAGAGGCTGTCAATGTTCTACGCTCATGAAAGGGCGCATTGATTCTGAAGAACAGGCATTTGCTCCAACACAGGGCGTTTAAGCCGGTTGACACTTGAAACATGGAGCTACATGGAAAAAACCACTCCAAAGCAGTGACGGAAAGGACAGACTAATTTTGGTTCCCAGGTTCATGGGAGATGACCTGGGATACTGGCCTCCTATGGGAGTGCTTCCACTACAGGGGTCTGGAAGGTGCTGCTCCCTCCCACTCTGCCACCCCCGAAGCTGTGGCTCCTGCAGAGACCAAGGGGCGCTTCGGCATCACTTTTTCATGCTGTTGCCACTGCCGCTTCAACTGGGATGAGCAAAGAGGCCTGAGCACGCGCTTGAGGGTGGTGGGGGACGGGGGGAGGTGGAGGAAAGGCCTTGGGCACAGCTCCAAGAACTTTCTTCACAAGGGGAGACATGCATGAGGCAATCGGGGGGGTTGACCTGAAGTGACAGTTCAGGCTGGGGATGGGGAACCGCTGAGGGACCAGCCCGTGCTGGTGCTGCTTCTGCGTTTTACGGCAAGTGGTAAAGCCAGCCATAGGGTCTTGTCTCACCCCCACAATTAGCTGTGCCTGAAATAGCACTGACGGGCTTCACATCTCCTCACAGTGAGTTGCCACACCACTGCATGGCTCCCTCACCATACACATGTGGTGTATGTATAAATATAGCTATGCATTCAATATACATATTTATATACAATTACAATATATACGGTGTATACAGTGTGTGTGCATATGTATATATATTCATGTTTCAGCTGTCACCAATCTGGAAACAATCCCTGGATCAGGAAGCCGAGGTCCCAGCGCTTGCCAGGTTTCTCACAAGTAGGTTAGAGAGTGATCCCGGCTCTCCCTCCCTCACCCTTGCCTCCCCCCAAATCCCTCCCGCGCTCCTTGCTGCACCCTGGCGCAGCTTCGGCAGGAGGCGAGAGGCCCATAGCCGCCTCCTGGGCGTCGTGGGTCGCTGCTGCGAGGGAAGAGAGAGGTTTGTGTCCGAGGATGGGCAAGGATGTCACTGGGCTTCGTCTGGGGCGTTTCTGGCATTTGCAGGGGAAAGAGCTGAGAGAAGCTGAATTCACTGAGGGCAGCTTAAACCCCAATTAGGAAAAGGCAGTGTAACTTTAGGCACCGTTACAGTCATGATCCTGCTGAGTAAGGACTTTCAGTTTGTGAGTTTGGCTTTTGGTCCCCGAGTTCTTACTATAAGCTAAACCTGTTTAAATGTCGGAAAAGAAATCCGAATTATTTTATGCTGATTAATTTTTCCACCGAGACAAACTCTCAATTTCCATCTGCTGTTACAGGCGACTGACAACCGGGTGTTATACGCAGTGAAATGTTAAATGACACACTACAGCTATTTTATTTCTTTGATTGCCCTGTAAGAAAAGCCTGGCTGAGTTGCTGAAAAGTCTTTGCCTGTCGCACTGGATTATGTGTAACCACAAAGAAACCAAACCAAACAAACAAAAAAACCCCAAACCACCCCAAAAGCGCTGCTGGGAACTGCCAAACTGCGCCGTGCCAAACACAAGGGTGGACTCCTTAGTCCAACCGAAACGTGTCTTCCGGGCCGGGGCGCGGCGTGGGGCGGGCGTTCTCCCCACCTCCCCCCTCGCCGCCCTCTTTCCTCCGCTCCGACTCCGGCTCCATCTCCATCTCCATCCTCTCCGTCTCCTCGCGCCCAGGTGGGTCTCCGCGCCGCCATGCCGCCGCCGTGCCCCCGCGGGGACCTGCCCGGGGCCGCCTTCTTCCTCCTCCTCCTCCTCCTCCTCCTCCCGCTGCTCTGCGCGCCCCCCGGTGAGTGAGCGCCCGCGCCCGGGACCGGGACCTCGTACGGGGTGGGGAAAACCTAAGCCGGCATGTCCCGTTGAGTGGGAAAAAGCCTTCCTTTCCAACATTGAGGTGTCGGAGCGTGTCCAGAGAAGGGCTACAAAGCTGGTGAGGGGTCTGGAGGACAAGTCTTGTGAGGAACGACTGAGGGAACTGGGGTGGTTTAGCCTGGAGAAGAGGAGGCTGAGGGGAGACCTTATCACCCTCTACAACTACCTGAAAGGAGGTTGTGGAGAGGTGGGGGCTGACCTCCCTGGTGAAAAGCGATAGGACGAGAGGAACTGGATTCAAGTTGTGTCAGGGGAGGTTTAGATTGGATATTAGGAAACATTTTTTCACTGAAAGGGTTATCAAACATTGGAACAGGCTGCCCAGGGAGGTGGTGGATTCGCCATCCCTGGAGGCATTTAATAAAAGGGTAGATGTGGTACTTGGGGACATGGTTTAGAAGTGGTTTTGTCAGGGTAGGTTAATGGTTGGACTTGATGATCTTAAAGGTCCCTTCCAACCTCACCAATTCTATGATTCTGTGATTCCCCTGGTACCGTGCATGGCCGCGGGCAAAAACCTTCCCTTGGCGTGGCCGCATGTTTTTGGTCACTCCCGCAAGCTGAGCATCTTTTTTTTTTTTTTAAAGGGCTTGTTTCCGAGGGAATAAAGCATTTCGGAGCAGCCGAGGGCTTGCAGGTCTGCTGTTGTGCTGCCTGGCCGTGGGCTGAAGCCCTGGATCCCCTCTGGGAATGGGCTTCGGCAGGACAACAGCTTTGATGCGCTTTGGGATGGGGTGGGAAGAAGAGTTTTGAAGGAGTCCAGTTGGGAATGTGCCCATCACTCAGGGTTTTCCAGGGTTATCGTGCTGCCCTGGACACTGTGTCACAGTGCTGGCACCGGCTGCGGTCTTTTGCCGCAAAAAAAATGAAATTTAATTGGCAAATGCAGCCAGTTTCGGGGTTCCCTTGCCAGGGACAGTTGGGGAGAGGATGCTGGAGTGTCAAAAGCCTCCCTGCAGCGTATGTTGCACTCGAGCGTGGAAACGGGAGCAAAGGGAGGCACTGGTAGAAACTTTGCTGCAGAGTTTTGCCTGGTCGTCCGGAGCTATGACAGAAATACTTCCAGTATTTTTCAAGATACCATCTTTTTTTGTTGTTCTTGTTTCCTTCTTAGTAAATGTATGCGTTTTATTTTTACCTGTCTAGATATCTCAAGGGGAAATAAGCTTAAACTGATGCTTCAGAAACGAGAAGGTAAGTATAGAGGCAGCGAAGTGCTTTCCCTTATTTTTCCTTTGAGTCAGTAGCCATCAGTCAAAACTGCCAATGTGTTGTCACTGTATCTCCGGCCCAAAGCGGGCAGCCGGAGGAGCACCCAGTTCAAAGCTGGTAGCGCACGGCTGCTCTCGCTCCGTACCATACCAAAACCTCCTGCGCATACGGAGCCTGTGCCTGCGTGCCCGTTTGGGACTTGGTACCGGCGAGGCTGGAGGCTCTGCTTATCACAGCCCCCTTGGAAAACCAGGGATGGGATGGCAGCCTCAGGGGGTACGCCTGCGTTTTGCTCCAAGCAGTGTATAGCCCCTACTGTTTCCAGTATACGCATGGCAGACGTGGCGTTTATCTGATTTATTCTGGGAAGTCACAAGCTTTTCCAAGGAATTTTAACACCCGGAAATATCGCTGGCTCAGGTGCAGAGGAGAAAATGCGCAAACCGGGCTTGCTCGCGCTGCCTTGACTTGTTCCCTTTGTCCTCTTGGCCCCACACGTGCTTCCTTCTTGGAGGACTGCTCTCTCTACGGGAGAGATGATGGCTGAGGGCCCGGTGGGCAGATGCACCGAACGGCTCGCTGGTTGAGGGAAGGGGATGGAATTGGAGGTGGTCGGGGACACGCAGCACTGCAGCAGATGGGGGGGCAGGCTGAAACACCCTAGAAATTTGAGTTGCCAACTCTCAACCCACTCTGTGGCTGAGGCAAAGAATTTTACACCACCACCCCCAGAGAGGATTCCCTCTTTCTGCAAGCCCGACTGACTTCTCACTGGGTTTTTCCTGCCATTGCCCACCTCCTCTTGCCTGCCCTAAAATGTGTGGCCCATCCATGTCTGTTTGCCTCACATGCGGGTTCCCTTCCGCACCTTTCTGCAGTGTTGGCACACAGATAGGACTGACCACTTGCAACAACCGCCTCCCCTGCAGCGGTCTGCTGGTTTGTGCAGGTCCCCTGGTGAGAAGGACCACCCAAGGGGAGGCTTCTGGAGCGTGCAGACACCGCGGGGTGGCCCAGGAAGAACTGCAAAGACTTGCACAGATGATGCAGGGAACATGCAGCCCCTTAGTTCCAGCCTCACTCCCCTTTTCCAGTTGTCTGCTAAAGCGAGCGGGCGAAGCACTGGTTCCCTCGCTGGCAGTGTCCCTCGTGCGAGGCTTATGCAGGTGACACTGGTTCAGCTGTCCTGCTTCCCAGCAATAACGCCCAGCTCGAGCGCACGGCGAGTTATCATTTTCCAGCTCATCACCGCAGGGCAGCCCGCTGTTTCCCACCCTTCCTGCGACAACTCGGCTGTCATTTTTACCTCCTTAATCTCCTTCCCGCTGCAGTCCTTTGCCTCCCCCGGCGAGTCTGCCCAGCTCCTGCCTCAGTGGTTTTCACATCTCCACCCCACTTCCCCTTCTGCCTCTTCTCTCGCATCCTCCGAAAATCCCCATCCACACGTACATCCCTGGTCTCTCCCTCCTTGCCCTGAGCCCTCTGAAGCCAAGATGTTCCTCCTACTCTTACACATGCCTCTTGTGTAGCCCAAACATCATGCCATGTTTTATCGTTTCTGTGGGTGGCCGGGGACTAGCCAGTCCTCACACCCGTACCTCTTGGTGGTACGGCAATTCCTCCAGCAGCCGCAGAGAACTGCCTGTCTCATAGGCACGGGTTGAGCCAGACGGCACGGCTGGGTCTGGCAGGTTGGGGGCATTCCCATCCATCCACCAGGCAGCGCGCTAGGAAAGCCTGATGGGTTTTTATTTTCAGGCATAAGGGGCATTTAGTAGCACCTATTATTTAAAAGCTACATTTTTACACAAGATTAAAACAAAAAATAATCTTTTTATGTGTGCCTCCCTTCACACTAGTAAGTTAGCGGTGTTTCTCCATCTTCTTCAGGCTTAACTTCACATCTCGTCCTCTTTCCCATTACTGTACATTCCCATTCTCTCCTCAAAAGTGCAACAGCGCATGCTCTTTCAGTTTGGATTTATTTATTTAAATTCCTTACTTAGCTTATGTCTTTGAGCTCAGAACAGCTTTTGTCAAAGCCAAGAGAATGAGGGTAGCTGAGAAATCCTATTACATCAGTGATTCCTGGGTGTATGACTGTTACTGCTGCGACACGCATCGCGCCGCTCAGCACAGAGGTGATGGCATGATGCGAGAAGCATTTTTTTACTTGCTGCAAGCAGTACGCTTCAGGCTGACTAAAAATTTCCTGGCGTGCCTTTTGGCGGGCTCTGTGTGTGTGTGTGTGTGTGTGTGAATTAATTTCAGCTCCTGTTGCCACGAAGCCCGAGGTGTCAGTGAAAGAAAAGGCGGCCAAAGAGTTCCTGAGCAGCCTGAGACGCCAGAGGCGCCAGCTGTGGGACCGCAGCCAGCCCGACGTGCAGCAGTGGTACCAGCAGTTCCTGTACCTGGGATTCGACGAGGCGGTGGGTGTCGGGATCTCGAGGGTGGGTGTCGGGATCTCAAGGGTGGGTAGGGCTTCCCAGTGAGCGGCTGCGAGCGCGGATGCACAGCCACGGGGGGCACCCGAGGAGACGCTGCCCTGTTACTGTGCACAGAAACCGTGACTTCTTTTTTTAAAGTAGCAAACATCACGCAGAAATATAAGCTCCACATCCGTTAAGAGATTTCTGCGTTATTTTGTTAATAGGGAAAAATGACATTAAAATCTCCTGTGGAGTTCTTGCCTGCTACCGAACTTCAGCTTAACAAATTGCACCCAGGCAAAGTTTGCTCTGAGAAATAGGCGGCCGGACCCATGGCAATCATTCGTATTTCAGGAAATTAATTTGGCAGCCTCAGCCTAATCAATTCGCTTCTTAACACGCTGAGAAATCCACACCAAGCGGGTCGTGACTGGCATTCCTCAGTGAAACCCCACCAACATTACGTACCTCCTGCACGCGCGTGCCTGCCTGGTGCGGGCAGCTCCTGACCCTCGCGAGCACCGGCAGCTGTGCCTCCACTCGAAATGTGAAAGGAAAACCAGCTGATAATGTGCAGCCGACCTCCCTTCAAATGAGAAGGGTGGATTTTTTTAAAAGCGGCTAATTTGTAAGAAAACTGGAGCGGAATCAAGAGTTCCCAGCTCTGCACAGAGCTCTACAGCGATAGATTCTGAAAGAGGGTGAAAAGTGTGCATTTAGTTGCAGTCCCACATGTAGAATAATTTCTACGTTAATAAGAGGTAAAAATAGTTATAGATGTTGGATTCTTGGCTTCTGTCAGCTGCATGAATACGCTTAATGAGACTGCACTGGCACAGGCAAGCTGGAGCACATTTTGGACCTTCACGCTATGTGGACTGCTTAGAAGATGAATGCACTCGTTTTCAAAGCTGGAACAATTAGAAAAATAATCCTTTGCTTGAACTGAAATAATGAAGGACTTTTTTATTTATTTATTTATTTATTTATTTCCTCCTGGACAGTATACAGATAAAAGTGACTATTTAACAGCCTGGTTATATTCCCCCATCCCAATAGGAACAGGAAAAATAGGAAAAATGGTTTTATGCATCAAAAACTGAAGACCGGGGGCAAATACCGAGAAATAAGTAATAGGGACAAACTATGCAGATGAGATGAATTCTCCTCTGAGTTCCTGTGTGCGTTTCAACATCTAAAATGAGGCCTGTTGTGGGATACAATGAATCCACTAAGTAGGTTTTCTTGAGCATTAAGACACAGTTTTAACAATGAAATAACTGTTTGTTCCAGCAAAGGACTCAGGCCATACTTACCCATTGTGTATTTTGCAAAACTTTTTTTTTTTTCTTTTTTTTTTTTTCTCCCAAATCGCAGCCAAAAATATTTCCAAAGAGTCATTCAGACAGAAAAGCTTTAGCTTGGCAAGTATTTGATATCCTCGCACGCTGTTTTTCCCCTGCTGCTGTGAGCAGAATTGAACTGCTTATTGCATTTCCATAGCTAGAAGGCTGCACTGTACGTTCGTTTTTACCCATGCGAAATGGGGAGTGAAAGATCACCGGCGTAAAGCGAAAGCCTGTTGTACCCGCACCGCAGTCAGGGACATCGTGACTAAAGGCACGGGGCAACGGAGAACCAAACCTTTAAATTTTTAAGTACAAAACATTGATATGTTTTTATAGTCTGCCACCAAAAAGGTAATGTAAATATTAAAGGTGCGCGGTGCATGTTGCGGTTGAAGGTGCTTCCAGTTTAAGCACCATACAGTGGGCAGAGGGGGGAGTGGGTCCCAGGTGGGGCTGGGCAGGACAATTCCTGCTCTCAGGACCCCGATAACCCCACAGAGAAGGTGGGTACACGTCGCAAACCCCCTTAGATCTAAAGATTTCGTTTGGACAGACGCGCAAAGGATCTGAATTTCTGAAAGAGACAAAAGGAACCTCTTGCACCACTTCTGTTTCACTCTCTTTGTGACGTTTCAGGCTTGGAAAGCAACTATTTTCTTTTTTTTTTTTTTTTTTCTCCGCAGAAATTTGAGGATGACATGTCCTACTGGACAAACTTAGGGCGTGCTCGGAATGAATACTATGGCGGATACTACCAACACCACTACGATGAAGATTCACCAATTGGCCCACGCAATCCCCACACCTTCAGGCATGGAGCAGGTGTCAATTATGATGATTACTAATGCCGTTTATCCTACTATAGCTGATGCCTATAGGGCTGCACTGGGCAAGGCCAAGTCCTCCTGCAGTCAGAACGACCCTGCTTTCCTTCTATCCATGTAAAACAGCAAGAGTAAAGGAACTGCCAGACTTCAAAGAAAGCAGCATGACTATTTTTTAATTACCGTTTCTTAGTAGTATGTTATATATAAAGTGCTATAGAAATAAAGCTTTTTTGATAAAATAAACAGGTCGCTGTTATTTAGTAGAGTTTGCAACAGCAAGTTTCATTCCGATTGTATTATTGCAGACTCCTTTTTTAAAAGGGCTTTTTCATTCGCTTTCTTACAATCGATTGCAAAATTACATTATATCATCTAGTTTGGCACATAGACAACATAATATAAGCCAATCCGTTTCAGATGGGCCTGCTCAGCCAGATTTGTATCAACAAATAAATCCAGTTATTCTTGGGGGGAAAGAAAAAACCCGTTCCTCTCAAGCGAAGTGCTGCCTCGTTGCCTCCTCTGCTGTTTCCGTACCAGCTGTTGCACAGCCCTCCAAACTTGCGTGACACGGCCCTTCAACCGTTCCTCTTGGGGCAAGGACACTCGGCATACAAGTATCTTAAGGGTGTGTTGAAGGAGGATGGAGCCAGACTCTTTTCAATGGTTCCCAGTGACAGGACGAGGGGCAATGGGCACAAGTTGGAACATAGGAAGTTCCGTTCCAACACACGGAAAAACTTCTTTATGGTTCGGGTGACAGAGCAGTGGCACAGGCTGCCCAGGGAGGTTGTGGAGTCTCCTTCTCTGGAGATTTTCAAGACCCGCCTGGATACAGTCCTGAGTAATGTGCTCTGGGCAATCCTGCTTTAGCAGGGGAGTTGGACTAGATGATCTCTAGAGGTCCCCTCCAACTCTGAAGATTCTGTGACACCACTGTTCACAAAAGCTAAATTCAGTGCGGAGGAGCTCACCTGTCTGCGAAGCCCATGCAAGGAAAGGATTCTCCAGGGAAAGGGCTCCAAGCGGGAACCTGACTTCAGAAGTAATTGCGGAGACGCAGAGCATCTCACTCGAGTGGCCCCAACCCCTCCCAGGCACGATAACCCAAAGGTTATCGGTGATGAATACTCCCTTTTGTGTCCTTTCCACTTAGCTGCCAGCTTGCAGTCTAGCTGCAAACAGGGAATAAAACAACAAAATGAGCTATTTAAAAGGAAGTTAGTATCAGGTAGCATCAATACAGTCCCCAGATGTGCTTTTCTACCATGAAGTTGCCTCCATCCGCAATTCGAACTCGCACCTATACACATTAGGCTGAGCATCAAAAAATACCAGAGACTAGACATTTGTTAATGAAGCACAGGGTATTAACGAGGTGTTGGCTGGTGGGGTTGTGTGTGTATTAACAACCCAGAAACACAACTAATGTTTCGACCACAGCAACATCAGCTCCGTTGCTGCTTCTCTCTTGTTCCTGTAGAGAAAGCCCTGAGGCAGACAGAAGCCTGGGAGGGAGATTGTCGGGGCCTTCAGGAGGAGCCGGCGGAGGGAAAGCGCTGCTGGAGCTTGTCCAGCACAGAGGATTGGGAAAGGGCAGGTGAGGAAGGCTGGCTGACTCTGGGCTTTCAGGAGCTGAAGGAGAATCAGGATAGAGAGAGATGAAACATGTACGCGAACTACAGCAGTCAGAAAAGAGGGTAGAGATATTTTGGCTTGTCTGTCATCTAAAGCTTACAAGAAATTTCTGAAGCACGGATTACAGTAACACCGTTCTTTATACTTCCCTCACTCCTTTCTTAACCCTGTGTGTATTTCCTAATTTCACTTAAAGCCCCCGTTGCGTGATGGACTGGTGTCCAGGGGAGGCAGCCGAGCAACTCTCCCGTTCCCTGCAGGAACGCTTCCAGGGAGACAGCTTTTTGCCAAGGGAGCCAAATTGAACGAACGTGCTAGTCACTTCTCCGCACGCACAGATACGCGCTAGCCTAATATGCTCCAAAAACTCAGCTTTCCCTCAGGTTTTGGAGCGCTTGCTCTCAGCGGAATCCTTGCCAGTTTAATTGGTTTAAATTCGTGTGTTTCCTCATCGGAAGACCCTTTATTCCCCATACGGAATAATCATACTCTGAGTCAAGCACACACTCTTTGCACAGTTGGAAAACACCTATTCCTAGAAGAATACTTCTATTTTGTGGCCTATCAAAAACATGCACAGAACTTGGCGATGGCTGAACTGTGCTGATAACTTCCATCATTTCCCAGAATTTACAACAACTGGGAATTCAGACCTGCTGAATAAGGAAGAATAAAAAAAAAAAAAAAAAAAAAAAGTGCTGTAAATAAATACCATGCCTCCCTAGGCCTTTGTGCGCTGTGTCCATTCCTGCAGGCTGACTCAGTCCAGCAGCTTTCTGTGCCTTGCAGGCTCACAAAGTCTACGATCTCTCTCATGAAAAAAAGAGAGAAAAAAGATCTCTCTCTGAGAGAAAAAAAAAAAAAAAAATCTTTTGCGCTACATTGTGCTACACGTTGAAGTTTCCCACCATGTACAGAGGTCTGGCTGGGATAGAGATAACTTTCTTCATAACAAAAGGTATGGTGCTGTGTTTTAGACTTTGTGACTTAACCAGTGTTGATCGCATCCCGATGTTTTCACTGTTGCTGAACAGCGCTTGCACATCCTCAAGGTCTTCTCTGTTGCCCACGTTACCCCCCTCAGCAGGCAGGCTAGGGGTGGGCAAAAAGTTGGAAGGGGACACAGGTGGGACCGCTGACCCCAACTGACCAGTATTCCGTACTATATAATGTCTTCCTCAGCAACAAAAGCTGGGAACAACGGGGTGGTGGTTTTGTCTTCCAGGGTAGCTATCGCTCAGTGACTGGCTGGGCATCAGTCCTGCTTAGGGGAGATGGTGAGCGCCTTTGCATCACTTGGGTTTTTTTTTTTCCTTCTTATTAAACTGTTCTTATCTCAGCCCTCCAGTTTACTCACTTTCGCTTTTCTTATTCTCTCCCCTGTCCTGTCGGGGCAGGGGGAGTGAATGGCTGTGAGAGTACTTAGCTGCCAGCTGGGGTCAACCCACCACAAGGCAATAGCTGTGAGAGGACAGCACTCTCCTCCTTCCAGAAGGGCCCACCTGACTTGAAGCGCAGCAGTTGCAATGATGCAAAAGCACATGGAGGAAGCTACAAAGAAAGGAAGCAGGTATGAGCCATCTCGGGCTTGGGCAAAAGGAAGAAAACTCTTAGAAAAAACAGTTGCTCAAATTTCAAACCTTCAAAGTTAACTACATTACCAAAGTTCATTTCCTTTGATTACTTCTGTCCCAAAACAGGGACAAAACTGCGCACCCCCTCCCAGCCTGTCCATTCCGCTGTGCAGACACCACGGAGCGCTTCACATCATCATTCCCAGCCAACCCAGCGCTGACATCATGTAACCTCTCCACCGAGACAGAAGAGCAGCCATTGTCCATTGTGCCTCCCTGCAGAACAGGACCAGCTTGGCCACGGTCCAGCACTTCATGCTTCAAGGCCCAATGCTGTCACAGCCCCCTGGTCCCAAGTTCGTGGGTGTCAGCCGGGCACGTCCGTCAGTCCGACTGACGGGGCAGTCCTGCCTCCTTTGCTGGTAATCCCTCTAAGGTAACACTCCCACGTCAAAGCATGGAAGTGCTACCGCTGTGCCTCCGCACCCGCTCTCATATACTCCCCCAAGGTCTGCACAGACACCTCTCTCCTGGTTAAGTGTCTTCAACAGCAGTCTTAAATATATATTTATTTTCTTCTTTAGTTTTGGGGCCTTCATTCCCTTTAAGTTCCTACTTGCAGCACAAACGGCTTTGGGGATGGGGGATTGGGCACTTTCACCCCAGGACTGTTTCCCAAATGCTCAAAACAGCTTTCTCTGCAGTGGGGTGGATGGAGCCCAGATTGCAGTACTTAAGGCCACCTCGCAGTTCCCTGTGGCTTCACGTTTTGACCTTTCAGCTGCTACAGCCATGGCACAGACCAAGCCATTCAGAGGATCCCCCTCCTTGCTGAAGAGCATGCCAGAAAATAGGCAAAACATTGCAAGAATGAACCAGCTGTTGCTTGTTCCAGGCTGTAAATGGTAACAAGACAAGTTGGACAAAAAGCTGTTGCCACATTTGCTATTATGGAATAAGCAGCTGAGTGAAGGAAAGGGACTGGGAAAAGGAATAGAGAACCAGAGTCTATTTTTTTTTGTTTCAGAAAAGCCTCTCTTGATCTGGAGCCACATACAGGAACCTCCTGCCATACAAAAGCAGCCCTGCTTTTCTCCAGAGCTACTGCTGCCGTTCCTGGTAACTCTCGGGAGTCAGAGCCGCAAGTGAGGCATTCCCTTCTCCCACCACTTGTGATCCAAGCGCAGGGAAACGTTCACAACAGAGCAACTACGGATTTGTGGTGGCTGCAACTCCCACTGATTCCAGGGGGAGGATGTACAGATATCAGGGCTAGCAATGTCGAGCACGTACTTCCCTTGCTATTGACAATGCATCTTCTTCCCATCAACAGGTCTTCTCTGATCAGCCTCTAGCAACCTTCAAGGACTTCTTGGCCTCAAGTGGCATTAAACTCAATACTAATTAAAAGCCTGGAGATTCAGCTCAATCCGTCACACTAATCAAAGCCCTGTTTTGCCCTCTTGTAGCCTGTTCTCCAAAGCTAACGAATTTATGCATCTGTGTTTATGTGTTCCTCCTCCTTCCTTGCCTCTTTCTCTCAACTTCGAAACTCAATTCCAACCCTACCTGACAGAAATGAAAGTTTTTTCAAATATATTACATTTCTGTAAGTTTCTTGAAAAAATAGGTGACAGACATATTCATAAATGCCCAGAGGGCGGTGACCTCACTGGCTACTAAATCTACCAGAGTCTATATAGGTTAAGAAAAGCTGCAAACACTCTAGACACAGGAAGACTGTCAGATCGTAGTTTCCCTGCATAGCAAAATATCTAACCTAAAGATAGACATGAGGCTTCTCTAGACTACACATTCATGGAACTACCTAAAATAAATTAGGTCTGCAAGCCTCACTGTAGCTTGCCTGTAGATCGGCAATGTGGTTTACAAAGCTTCCGAGCAGCCTACATATAGAGATAAAGCAAAAGTCCATCTTTTTTTTTTTTAAAAAAAATAATTAATAAATCCAACGGTGAACCTCACACTGATAACTTCCAGCAGCAAGAGTGGTCCTCCTTGTGAGGCTCAAGGAACCCACAGCAGTGGGTGCCTTGCACACCTCTCCTAGAAGGCTGATCTCACTTGCCAGCACCAAGCTGGCCCGTTCACCACAGGCCTCTGCTGCATTGCACATTCCCTACTAAGAGAGGAGGACTTGCACCTAACCCTGGTTGGGCTGCCCATTCGTGCAGATCACTGTGGCTAAACAGGCACCTCAAGTCTGGTCATGTCCATTTCACCATGTCTGCCTGACCAGGTGGCAGCAGAAAATCCCAGTTCCCAAATTTTCTGGAAAAAAACAACCCCGGAAACAGTACGTTTTGTTCAGGCATGGAAATGAGAACATGGTTTGGCTTCATTTACTCCCGAGTCCTACGTTTCCAAGCTTTCAGCGCTTTATTCCACCACCCTCAATCAAAAGTGGCTCTTCTGGAGAGGCAGTAGCTGTTCCTCGCCTGTGGCTCCCTGCAAACTTGATGCCTTCTTTCAGCTTCCCAGATGCGTAACCCCAGACGGGAGCAGAGAGAACCAACACGCAAACCCTCATCTGCCGTCTCGAAGACTCGGTTCAGACCAGACCAAACTTGAAATTACCCCAGACTTTCCGTCTTAAGCACCAGCAGACTGTTCTAACACCCACGATTCACGCCTTTCGAATCAGCCAGAAGGCCAGGCACCGGCTTCAAACACAAAGGGCACAATAGCTGCCTCAGCTGCTGTTTTTGGAAGACACTGTTTTTGAAAGAATATGGCGACTGAACCAGGAACCTCTGAAACAAAAGCTAGAAAAAGGACAAGGAAAGCAGCAAATCAATACAGTCTGTCACTCAGGCCCAGCGGGAGGCACGCCACATACTCACAGATGGGTTGTATTGGTACCAGCCGTTTGCCCTCTCTCCAATTTGCTCCTTTTATGAAGGAGGTCAGGCTGTGAAGTAACCTAAAAAGCTTTTAAATTCACATCTGTAGTATCCAAATGTTCAGACTTCCCGAGGGGATTTTTTTTTTTTTTTGAAAACACACATTTTCTGCTAGTCTCCAGAAATACAGCTTACATATTTTGCACCGAAGTAATTGGAGTAAATGAAAAACAGTCCTGGAAATTAACAGCTGGTACCCACAGCTCCCATTTATTCTCAATGGCCGCTCTAAATGCTGGACTAGGGTTGCACCCTCGTGCCACCACCTCTTCATATGTGCTTTGGCATCCAATGGCACCATTTGAACTAGGAGTAAACACCAGGAGAAAGAGAACCTTCCCCAAAATATGATCTAGAGCTTAAGGGTTAAAAACACCCTGCTGGGAGCTGATTAGCAGCTCTTGCCACAAAACTATTACAGAAGTGGGCACTACTTTCACATACATCCAGCTGTGGTTTTGAGCATAGGGAGAGGCTGTGCTTTGTGAGTCCATCAGTAATGATAGGTTACAGGCACATTTGGAGCATGCACACCACGGTGTACTTTTCAGGCAACTTAATATGGAATAAGTGTCGAGATCGAGTACCTAGAAAAAGGCTTCAAACAAAAAGCAGACCTCAAGCTGCGCAGCTGTGAAAAGATGGAGGCAACATGTAATACCTAAATTCTACCTCTGAGTCCAGACAGGAAAATGCTTCCTGGCTCACTGTCTTGGTTGCATGGCAGATTTTGAGGTTGGAACTCGATGATCTTCAAGGTCCTTTCCAACCTAAAGCATTCTATGATTCTATGATTTCCACTGGAAGAAAACTTGCGCATGTGAGCAGGGAAGAAACCGTTTTTTCTTAAAAGGATGACCGCAGACCCAGCCCAGACCGGGCACACAAAGATGGCAGCCCCATCACTGCTGGAGTCCTAGGGAACTCTTACCAGACAGACTGGACAGGACTCCAAGCCTTGCAGGCACCGGGAGGCTCTGGCAGATGGCACACTCAGACAAGGGCGCCTAAATACCACACTGCTCCTGGAGTCCTCCCTGGGTCCAGGCATCAAGTCATTCCTACACATAACTCCCACTTTGACCACCAACCTAAAGATACTTGAAAGCTAATGAAACATTAAGGTTTAACGAGATAAAGTCAAGTCACTTTGCTTGATCCGATTTAGGATTTTAAATTTTGAGTGGCACGAAGCCAAAATACCTTCTAAAAACTCTGCCAATCTCCCCTCCCGGGTATCCAGTCTTATGTATTAAAAATAAAGGGGAGCTATTAAAAATACGGGGAATTGCAGGGGTTTTTTTGTTTGCTTGGTTGGTTTTTATTTGTTAAGATGACAGGCACAGTTATCAAAGTTGAAAGCATTTACTGGCAATTCAATAACTGCTTAAAATAGAAACATTTCCTCAGTTAGGGATGCTAAAGTTAGACTCTACAGTTTAAAGAAAATCTTATACTCCTGCATCACTATCAACTACCTGACCTGAACTGGAATAAATCATGATGGTTTTGTCTGATCTGTTTCAAAAGACATCCTGTACCCTTCCTATATATCTGTTAAGAGATGACCAATGAAAGACCAATGTTACTAACTTTGAGCCAATTATTTACAGACTGTTACTTTCTAATTAATATACAATAAATGTACAGATGTTTAATGCCAGAGAAGCGCCCACAGTGAAACCCTGAAACTAGTAAACAGAAGTTTCAATATTTTATTAAAATAGTATATTCAACCACTGTAACCAATAATACATTAACTTTATTCCCAGAGTACGCACAACACAGTAGTGATTCAAAATATCCTTATCCATGGTAATCAATGAAAATATCTCAAATTCAAGTGTACAACTAAAACTAAACCTTTGAAAAAAATCTCTCCTTTAAAGAATACATAAAGCTCTCATACAGAATTCTTTTAAACTCCTCTAGACTTAGATGTCAGTGTCTCTCACCTGACAATACCACTAGCTTTTTTCTTATGCATAGTAGAACATCTCATATTTTATAGTACCCATTTTATAAATAAATTGGCATTTTTCCATCCCATTTGTGTTTATCTTCAGCTTCACAAAGAAACCAGTAAATAAAACTGTCAAGGACAGTCACAACAAAATGATCTCACAGCAAGATATAAAACTTGAAGATACTAAAAGATGCTTCTACTCTATTTTACATAAAAAGACAGATTTAAAAAGTGCAAGGCAAGATTTGCAGGGGAAGGGGAATATTTGTTTGTTATTTTTAGGCACATCCACTTCTTTAAAGCAAGCTTCAGAATGAAATTCCAGTTTGTTCTTCATGATACCTGTTTCAAAGTCTCTCTCTCAAAAAAAAAAAAAAAGAAGAAAAAAATTACATCCGTCAAATGTCAAGCAGGGAATTTCCTGTCCAACTAACAGTCTTCAGTTATGTCTTGTTCTTCCTTTCTTCATCCTTGCAGGTTTTGGCTTGGGAATATACTGATTGTTTGCCTGATACTCAAGTTCTTTACGGAAGTAATGAATTGCTTTATTCAAACCTTCTTCCAACGGGACCTGTTCCCAAAGGTGAGGAGAGAATCATATCACTCTAAGTTCACATCAGCTCTTTTCACAACGGTATCTTTTTTAATACAGCTATCAAAAGACTGCTAGGAAGTCTCATTCTTAGCCAATGTAAGTATTAACAGCACCACATGCTGGTTGCATCTCTGCACTGCTAATGCATGTTAGCTTTTAAACATGTATTTTCGGAGGTAGTAAGTAAAAAAACCCAACAACTTCAAATCTCATCAGATGGTTATGATTGGTCCGTTTAGTGTTAAAACAGACTTACATAATTCTACTTTGAATTCATAACACATTGAAAGAGAGAAGCACACAGAAATTTAAGCCCCTTCTGATTTTAGTGATTAAAGATCTTCTTTCGCAGAATCTCACAGAATGGTATACACCACAGAAAGTATAAAGGTGGTGGTTTTTTTTTTTTTCAGTTTTTTATTTCTTCAGTGCTCCATTGATATACAGAAATAGGGATGCAAATTATCTTCCAGTATCTCATTGGATCATCTTAAATCCTATACAAATAATTGTAATTCTTCATATTTTAGGCCTGTATTTAAACACCATGATTTGTGGACAGGAACAACAGAAACACTACCCACTTTTCTCAGGAGCCATATGCTCTGACACGCTTGCTGCTACCATCATCAATACTGGAGGATAAAATTGCAGCACAAAACCTGCTTGCCTTGATGTACCAACAGCATACTGCTACTTCAGAGTAAGTTTTGGTACTGACTGTGCCAAACACAGAAGGTTAGAAGTATAAAAGTTAACTGCTTTAAACCTTTCGTGATTGTAATACTTGCCGTTGTCCATGTGCTTTCAGGCATAGTCTATTAATATCCAACGCCTCTGTGAATCCTTTCAGAAGGTTTGGAGATTTTTGTCTGCAAATCTAAAAAAAGCCTACAAACCACTGTGCTAGCTAGAATAGGGAGCTGGCTAAGAAAGTCACACCCTTTCTGGGGATCAAGCAGGCCTTACCTCCCCAAACACGCCAGCTTATCATCAGCTATGCCTGGTTATACACTTGCACAGTTAACTTCACCAAAAAGGTTGAAAAAGGAAAAAAAAAAAGCAGCCACGGGCATTTTGTGTTTCTTGCTTTGCAGAACAACCTCAGATGGCTGGTAAATAAGCTTTTGAGGTGGACAGACACTACTGTGGGTGGTGAGATGTTAAGACTAACCCTGAGCATGTTTCAAGCTTATTAACACACGGAAAAAGCTGTGAACATCTCTATGTCTGATATCCATAGTCTAAAAGACGGGCTTCTTATTCTGGCTTACTTCAGTCCACCAGAATAAAATAAAATTAAAAATAAAATGTGTGACCTCTCTCTGGCTAGCTTCCGTTTTGCTCGAGTTTCACATATTTCCCTTTAAACAAAATCTAAAAGCCAGAACATTTTTCTGATGCTCGTATTTTCTCCCTATTAATCCAAACAAACTTGTTGGTTACAATGATGTTACAGATAATCTTAAAAATAGTCTTACTCCAAGGATTTTTCTAAAAATATTTTAATTAAATAAAAGCAATTTTTTCCTTCTATAATGTGTGTTACCGTAGCAAAACAGGAATGAGGACTGCAGCAATAGCAAACTCACAAGCTCCCATAACTACGTACCACGTTTTTCAAAGGATTCATCGGGCTTACAGAAAGGTAGGTAGACACTTCATAATACGCGTGTGAAAAAGTTAAAATGTCTTATCGTAAAATTTTTTGTTTCGACTTAAGTCTATTACAAATGCTAATGATAAGATGCTCTTCTGCATGGCACAGGTCATACGGTCTTACCCAGCAGTTCCTGAATCATGAGCTAGGGTAACGTACAAGGCAGCCTTTTAAACAACTGCCCTGGAGATTGTGTTAAGCTGATATTCTGATAACTGAAATGTATTGTTATCATGTGGTCCTCCCCCATACCCTTCTGCCTCCCTGTGTTTTTGCACACAACCACCATAATACAGCTGTACATACCACAGGTTCCCAGCCGAGCAATAACTTGGCTTTTCTGATGTCAGGTTTTCGTTTCTGAGGGTCATCCTGTGCTTCTGAGAGAAACTGGATTTCACTCCCACTGCCTATTAAACAAGAGACTGTGCATTACCATCTGCAATTCACTACGTTTTGCATTTATATCTTTCCTACCTATTGGAGCATCAGGTCTTTCTGCGGCTTTCTGCTTCATAATTCTACCATTTTAAATGCTTTCCACAGACACAGCTGCACTGCATGCAACAGCTGGGTGAACCAGCTGTCCCACAGCAACACGGATTCACAAAGCATTTCACAAAGCTTTCAGCATGGATTCACAAAAAGGAAGTTATGCTTGACCAGTCTAATAACTTTCTACAATGAAATGACCGCTTCAGCGGCCAAGGGCAGAGCAGCGGATATCATCTACCTTGACTTCAGTGAGGCTTTTGACACTGTCTCCCATAACATCCTTATTGAGGGCTGGATGAGCAATGAGGTGGATTGAAACCCGGCTGCATGGCCAGGCCCAGAGGGTGGTGATCAGTGGTGTGGAGTCTAGTTGGAGGCTGGTAACTAGTGGTGTACCCCCAGGGGTCAATAGGGAGTTGCTGATACACCAGAGGGCTGTGCTGCCATCCAGAGGGACCTCAGGAAAGAAGGCTGGAGAAAAGGGCTGACAGGAACCTCATGAAGTTCAACAAGGAGAAGTGCAAAGTCCTGTACCTGGGGAGGAACAACCCCATGGCACCAGTACGGACTGGGAGCCAACCAGCTGGAAGGCAGCTTGGCAGGAAAGGATCTGGGGGTCCTGCTGGACACCAAGTTGAGTATGAGCCAATAACGTGCCCTTGCCACAAAGAAGGCAAATGGCGTCCTGGGCTGCAGCAGGAGAAGTGCTGCCAGCAGGTCAAAGGAGATGATCTTCTTCCTCTACTCAGCGCCCGTAAGGTATGTCTGGAGGGCTAAGTCCAGTTCTGGCCTCCCTAGTACAAGACAGACGTGGATATACTGAAGAGAGTACAGCAAATGGCTACTAAGATGATGAAGGGACCGGAGCATCTCTACTATGAGGACAGGCTGAGAGAGCTGGGACTGTTCAGCCTGGAGAAGGCTCAGGGGGATCTTTTCAATGTATATAAATATTTGAAGGGAGACTGCAAAGAAGATGGAGCCAGGCTCTTTTCAGTGGTGCCCAGTGACAGGACCAAGAGCAATGTATACAAACTGAAACACAGGAGGTTCCCTCTGAACAGCAGGAAACACTATTTTACTGTGAGGGTGACCCAGTACTGGCACAGGTTGCCCAGTGAGGCTGTGGAGACTCCATACTTGGAGATACTCAAAAGCTGTCTGAACACGGTCCTGGGCGACTGCTTGAGCAGGACTGGACCAAATGACCTCCAGAGGTGCCTGCCAACCTCAACCATTCTGTGATTCTGTCAGCACTTTGGCATTGTAAAAGGACTTCACTTCCTCTTTGCCCATATTCTCCAGTCTGATTTAAATAGCCAACATACTACTTGCCTTTCCTCACGACAGTAGACAGAAACAGGACAATTTTTCAAACCAAATCTAGCAAATAGTTTACATGCCATGTTACTGTGGGATTTAATGGATGTAAAACTAAACTGCCTCCCTGGGATGACTGAAGGAGATCAAGTTGTTTGTGAACAGACAGACAAATGGAGGTAACAATTATTCTATGTGCCTGATGGGTTTGGTGCTCTGATTTTCAATTTCCTTCCCTGATCTGTGGATTCATGTTTTCCAGAGGGATAGTTCTCTATTAGAAACATCACGTGCATCAGCTTCTGTAGCGTATGTTTGAACTTGTCTTTTTCAGATCCCTCAGAAGCACTGCTGGAATCTACAGACTAAAACCCCTTGGCTAATGGCATCAGTGTGTTTCATCTCATTAGGAAGCTGCACTAGAAGACTAAGCACAGCCCTTCGCTTCTATTCTTGAGAGCTCTGGTTTGCTACAGGTATCACTGCAAGAATGGAGAGAAAGCCTCAGTGCTTTCTTCCCTGCCACACGCCAGGGAGGTGCTGACAGCCCTTGCAAGAGTCACTGGCAGATCAGTGAAAAGTAGAGAAAGACTGTCACCGCAGCATGAGGCTTTTAATGGTAGCTGAAGGAGAACAGCCTGCGTAATTGTGAAGAGCCACCTTGCTGAAGCATCCGTATTTCAGCTAAGATGTTATGCTAGACATTTTCATTCATGTATTTTCCATTTCATTTATGAATTGCCCTTGTGCCAAAATGGAGCCAAAAAAATGCATAAACATTATACAAAGTAATTGGTATAGATCGCACAGATGCACAGAAAGCATGCATTCATTCTACCATTCATGCAATATTTTACATACAATTGAGAGGATTTGGATTGTCTTATTAATATTTAATTATATGATCAGGAAACAATTAAATGCCTTTGATAAAGTTATTAAGAAATCCAAAGACCAATTAAATTATCCATACATTATACACACTAATCAAGTAATAATCATCTAATGAAAATAACTACTTCATTAGCTTTTCTAAAAATTACTTATCATACTCACCAACAAGTTTTTTAATTAACTGGGCAAATTCTAGGATAGTGTGCTCTTCTGGGTTTCCCTAGAAATAGAAGAGATATTCATTACAATAACGATTAAACACCTTACACCATGCTAGCTTTCTGATATGAGACAATTCTAACAGGGTCATGCTAAACTCTGAAAAAGCTAAACATAATGCCTTATTCCTACTTTGATGAAAATAAATGTAAGTTTGACAAGCTCCACACTGATTAGAAAAGTTGCCCTCCATTACACTTGCCTTGGTAATTCAATGTATGTAGGAGGGTGTTGAAAAAATTCAGTCTGTAAAGACTAGGCAAAGGCACCTCAATCACAGTAAAGGCGTATGCCACTCTGCAGCCCACACAACCACATCATCAGTTTGCAATCTGGATTCAAGGACTTTGCTGAGTTGAGGACAGACAATATAATGAAGAAGCATGCTAAATTCGCAGTTCATCCAAAGTTAGGAAACCGAACTAATTTAGCTGCAAACAATTGCTTCTGCATTTACTACAGCTTACGGATCAGTATGTATAAGGGCTACTTGCTTTCCTATACAATATTCCTTTTCTTAACTTGTTTTTTGGTGGTTTTTTTTTTTTTAATTATGGTGAATGTAATTCGTGTTTACCTTTTGGTTTTTTTTTTTTTTTTTTTTTTTTTTTTTTTTTTTAAACCAACTTCCACATGGACTTCTGATCAACATTTCAGAACAAAATGCTGAAAGCTTCCTGCTAGCATTAGCTCACCTCATCAATCTCAATTCCCTCCATCCCTAGCTTTCCTTGTTGCAAAACTCTTTACTGCCTCTTGTTCGACCTAAACCTGAACATTTAGGTACATATAGATTTAAACACTGAGTTTTCTGGAGAAAAAAAACCTGTGATGGGGTTTAAAAATATCAGCATTTGGATAGAAACATACACATGAATTCATGGCCACAGTAAAAAAGGAAAATCTAGTGAACTGCCCTGCAGAGTTCAAGATCTGATTTGGCAAAAGTTGGCATACACAGTAACGACCTGGCATATGCATCCTTTTTCTATTCTTACATCTAGTGCTCAGAACAAGGTGACAGCAAATGGCACAGAACAGAAATCTTATTAGAAAAGTTAAGTTCTAAGCAGCTTTAATCAATTTCAGAAAATTATACAACCAAATACTATTCCATTTCCCTCTAATCAAGGCTAGTATGAAGTGATTTCTAATTATTTAGAGCTAAGTATTTCTTCAGTGCTTTTTTCATTAAAACCAGACTGCAATCACTTCCTTGGTGTATTTTGCACCCTCCACCTCCCCCTGCTCATATTTTGTTGGTTTTTTTTTAATATTCTAATTAAAATACATAAATCTTTTTGCTAAAACAAATGAAAAACTCTAGCAAATTTATCCTGTTCTTGGAACTGTAAGATCTCAACATCTAGGGGCTTAATCTTCTTATTTATAAAGAGAATACACAGAGGAATACATTATTCATAATGGAAAGAGATTTTTTGTCTCCATTTATTTCTTCCAGAAATCAGCATCAGTGACAAGGAGGAAAATGGAGGTGATGTTGGCCACTGGACAGTAAACACAGTAGAGCAGAGCCCTCACACTCACCAAGTTGACAGGACTGCTGACATTGCTGTTCATCAACGCCACCAACCCATTCACAAGATCACTATGAAAAGGGAAGAACAGATTGAGGCAATTTCCACTTCCCTATAAATAATATTATTGTCTAAAAAAAGCTGCCTCCTCAGAGCTCTCAGTAGATCAGGCAGCTGAGTGAGGAATGCTGAAATCAGATTTACAGTGTATATTTCAAGAGATGCATGTTTTCTCGGCTGTTTGTTCCACAGTTCCTCTTGTAAGATACACTGAACGGGAGGTTAGTTTGAAAGGGTGATTATCTTTGGGATACACTGGCTACAGTTCATCTGAGCATATGAAAGAATATTAAAAAATATCACCTTACTAAAAAACAATTAATAGTTCCTCTTCCCTCCAGCACATAAGCATATTTAGAGGCCCATTTCCAACACATGTCAAACAGAACAGAGTAAGTTGGTAAGACAGAGGCGCAAAACACCACCACCTGCTTTGCAGTGTGGTGTTGGGATTGTCTTCCTGCTTTCAGAAATTCTTTAACCAAGCTTGCTAAACCCACTATTTTGGTGTTACCTTTCCCCAGCAAAATAACCCAAAGTTACTTTGGGTTATCAGCAACAAACTTATCCGCTCATCCCTGGACATATAAATCCAGATCCCTTTCATTATGACTTATAATCAGAAAGGGAGTGGCTACTTTGAACTGATGGGGTTTCCGTAGTGCCTATCACCACTGTTATTACTTTCAGCAGAGGGAAAGAACATTTCCAAGTGGTGAATAATTAAAACAACCCAGAAGCCTGGCACAGAAGTTCAGCTGGCATGACACAACAGAAAATTCTGAGGAATACATTCACTTTTTCGTAGTGAAAGTATACATTCTGGCCTTGCTTACACTGCAAATATTAGCTACAGCAATACCCCCTCAGCTGGTTCCTTCCCCCAGAAGGGGACACATGCATGTACAGTACACACCCTGACCACAGCACCCCCGAAGACACAAGGTGGCACTATTGTGTTACAATTCAAGGACTGACAAACTGCTCAGACTTAAAGCAGGCTTAAAAACTTTCCTACTGGTTAATTGCTGTCCCTTGAAGGGAAGAACACATTAATATTTTAATTCAAAGTTCTGAATCAACTAACGTTTTGTTTCTTGGTATTTTTAAAAACTTCACTGTCTTCCTTCTGAAAGTAAAGCTGGCCTAAGAATGAACCTAATTTCTTTGACTAAAACGCACATGCATACAAAGCTGGCCAAGCTCAAAGAACCACCAAGTGAAGTAAACATCACACAGCACAAACAAGGCTTACCTGACATACTGGAAAGCTCTTGTCTGAGTTCCAGGTCCATAGACCTAAAATCAGATGAAAATTAGAAAAGTTACATAAATATTTAACTCCTCTCTAGTCCAATTAACTTTTCCTCACCATTCTAGAAAAACATCCTGAGGAGAAACACCTGAGACACCAGCTCAATGTCACAGGAATGGAAAAAGATGTGCTTTCAGAGCCTTTGGCAAAGAATTGGTTCTTTGAAGGTCTTCTTCCTCTTGGACATGTCTCGATTAAACGTATTCTAAAGCATTTTGTTAACCGCAGCTCTGGATGTAGGAAACATTCTCAGGGATGTACGACAGGGTGATGCTTTGTCCTCTCTTGGAACACTGAAAAACGGCCGCAGCATGCACTCAGGCAGAAAAGAGCGCCAAATATTTAAAGCAAACCTCAGAATACTAAGATGTGGTTATGACGAGCAGTTTTTATTTGCTCATTAACAATGGATACCTTCAAAAAGACCACCAAATGTTACTGGTCTCTACAAAAATTGTCAAGAAAAATAGCATCGTAAGCATTTGAAGGAATGAGAACCAAAAATAAATTATCATGACTGTCTAAATGTTACTATCTCGGGAAATAGGAAGCAGAATAATTTCTAATGGCTAGAACTTCAGAGCAAGCAAATTGTTTAAGTTTAAAGTATATATTAAAACCTACCTTAAGTGTACATAATGGTATCAGATAACAATCCCCCCTCCCCAGTTTAATTGCATGCAGCACTTAAAATCCCTAGAACATGAATACTTAAATTCTCAAAGTTATCAGCAGGCATACTGAAGTGGGGAAAACACTGAAGTTGGGACACACACATCTTATCTGCTACAACAGAAAAGGTTTTTGGAAGGACAGAACAGAAAGCATTTTTTTTTTTTTTCCTAGGGGACAGGAAATACAATACAATTAGTATACATAGAATAGACTGGGTTGGAAGAGACCTCTAAAGGTCATCTAGTGCAGCGCCCCTGCAATGAGCAGGGACATCTTCAACTAGATCAGGTTCCTCACAGCCCTGTCCAACCTGACCTTGAATATTTCCAGGGATGAGGCACCCACCACCTCTCTGGGCAACCTGGTCCAGTGTTTCACTACTCTCACCATAAAAAATTCTTCCTTAAATCTAGTCTGCATCTACCCTCTGTAGTTTAAAACCATTATCCCTTGTCCTATTGCAACAGGCCCTACATGCCATCATCTGTCACTTGGTAAGCCTGCTGCTCTCCGAGGCAGACTCAGAACCAAAAGAGTTCACATTTCAGTAAGCATTGGGTAAGACGACGGGTTTAAGAGTTTACCCAATAACTGGTTGAGAGTAATGCACCAGAAGAGCACACTGACAGCCTGATGGCCTCTGAAAGCAAACAGGAAGATGATTTTATGTATATATAGAGCTTCCTGCTTGTCTTCTAGCTTGTGGGATAAGTTTTATAGAACTAAGTCACTTGTGCATGATTTCTGCAAAGTCATCCCTGTGGCTACCTTTCATACATGCAGGCAGAGGCTGGGAAATACAACGTAGTCTCCTCCTACCAATTTCTCTTAATACTTCCCAATTTCTCTTAATAAACCCTTCCTTTACAACAACAGAACAATGGTCATTTTTGCCTAGGCTATACTTTCTTCAAATTAAAGAGATTGTTTTCTCAAGAGATTATTTACTCTATTTGAACAACTATTTTGAACTAAGAGATTGAACACATTCAGTTTCTAAAAAAGGTCAAGGCTAGGTATTCCTGTCAGCCAAATTCTGTGATGATACAAGGCTGAAGATTTTTTTGGTTTTAACTAGTGCTTCTTGCAGATTATTCATTTTATTTCACCTGGTCAGCTAAACAATTCTCACTTTAGTTCTTTTCTCACATACAGTAATTTTCAATGGCAGACAGTTACTCCCTACAGAACAGTGATGTTGAGCAAAACGTCCTATTTTATCCTCTATTACATTCTTGGTAAAAGTCTAGAGAGCATGGCACTTACAAAAGAGAAAAAAAGCTTTCAATATTCCCTCCCACATAATAAACCTGACTCAAGACTTCTCTTACTGATGCTCTGAAATATCCCATGGATTGCATGTTTTAAAACAAGGTAACTGCTTCATATTTAGTAAGGCTTTGCAAAACTTGGTGTTCTCACCCTGTTCTTGTTAGAAAAGATTACAGGATTACTCTCAATAAACATGAGAAATTAAGCATGAATGAAAAAAGTCTGAAAGGCCAAATATGGCAACAGCTCATTACATGCACTAGGAGAATAAAATTGAAAAATGGAAGTACCTTCTGATCCTCTATAGGCTACATAAGCTTTCTAGAGAGCATTTAGAGGCTCAGAGTTTACTGCCCCAAGATGCCATCCTGGGAACATACAAATACTGACAAACCAGTATATGGTTACTTTCATATTTTGATACAAGAAAGTCCTACAAGGATCAAAAGTTTCAAAGCAAGAAGCTCCATCTTCTTGACTGCTTCTGTTTGCTTACTGTCTTGCAACAAACAGAACCAGCCTCAATCTGCAGCTTTCGGGAGATGCCTAGGTAAGAAAATGAAACTCTTTTAGCGGGAATCTGAGTGCGTTTTTTGTTTTTTTTATGTTTTGAAAGGAAAAAAGAGTACTGAACCCATGTGGTTATGCAATTAGCCTGTTCAGCACTGAAGAGACTCCTATCAGTAGAGACTAGGCAAGCTGGGCTCCCTGGTGTTGCCAGCTACCCGAGACTAAGACCTGACATAGAATCACAGAATGGTTTAGGTTGGAAGAGACCTTGAAGATCATCAAGTTCCAACCTACCTGCCATGGGCAGGAACACCTCCCACTAGACCAGGTTGCCCAAGGCCACATCCAGCCTGGCCTTAAACACCCCCAGGGATGGGGCCTCAACCACCTCTCTGGGCAACCTGTTGCAGTGCCTTACCACCCTCAAAGTGAAAAATTTCTTCCTAATGTTTAGATTAAATCTGCCCTCTTCCAGTTTATAGCCATTCCCTCTCATCCTGTCACTACATGCCCTAGTAAAAAGTCCTTCCCCAGCTCTCCTGTAGGCCCCCTTTAGGTACTGGGAGGCCACGGTAAAATCTCCCCGGAGCCTTCTCTTCTCCAGGCTGAACAGACCCAGCTCTCTCAGCCTCTCCTCATAGGAGAGGTGCTCCAGCCCTCGGATCATCCTCGTGGCTGTCCTCTGGACACGCTCTAGCAGATCCATGTCCTTCTTATCTGCATATCTGCAGTCTTGATGCTGACTTATAATACAAAAAGACACATTAAATATGGTAGGTCCTAGTAAACACTGGCCAATAAGTCACCATCAGCATCACACAATTGCTACCATGCTCTGAGCACTGACAGTGCTTTGTAGAAAAAAGCAAATCTCTGGGGGAAAAGCAAATCTTTAGGAGATGCAGTGAACACAGCATTCAAATTACTACAGGATTGTTACTCTGAAATAACCACAGGTCTAAACCAGACATTTAGCAAGGGTTAGGAACAACAGAGTAGCCAAGATGCATCCCTGATTACATTAAAAAATAGTAATAGATTGCCTAAGTCATCAATCATCAACAGCAAGTCAGCAAATGCTGACCTCCAGAAAAGACCAATCTTTCAAAAATTATGAGTATACTTAAGTCGGGTGATGTGCACTGCTTTGCAGAATATACATTATTTGAACTTTAAAAAAAAAAAAATTTTATAAAGAGTTCTAGATTTCACCCAGTCAGTATGTTAGTGTCTACTATCCACGTTTTGCAGGCGATAGCCATAGTTCGGCATATTATTTTTAAAAGATTAAAGGTAGGGGAGATCTATCACAGGACACCAAGCTTCATCTTGCCTAGGCATGACTTATTCCTTGGTCCAGACTCTTCAATGCTCTGTCCAGTTTCAGCTTGTGCTCTACAAAAATCATGATAGTAGAAGTTGCCACAAAACTTTCATTGTTTTCCTCCTTGGATTATATGCTCCTTCCTTGAGGAATTCCGGGCTGAACTCGGGATTTTACAGTCTCCAATGGAAGGAATGCTGTCTCAACCTCAAGATAGCTACCCCGTGGATGTACTTAGCAGTATTTTCAGCTATTTAGCAGATGCCTTTCAGTGATTTCCTGGCATGTCACTCTTCTAATCTAGGCAATATTATCAAATATTTGTATGAAATTTCTATGTCACAAAAACTGTACATGTTTCCATGAGCTCACAACTGATCTCAGATTTCAAACTAGTTCTCCTTGTTTCAGGATGTTTCCTCAATTTATTTTACGTATCCTCATTATTTTATAACAGTATACTAAACAGGATCAGGACATAAGTCAGGTGCTGTCTGTATTGCTAAATTACCAGCAGCATCTTTGGCAGAGTATTGGCCTGTGCCAGCTCTTGCTCTCCCAGACAATGCTGTGACATTGCTTAAGCGCTACCAAGAGCCAATAACCATTCACAGCAAACAGTCTGGATATGGCAACTTGTTTTGGCTGGAAAATTTAGACATACAGATGTAGGCCACGCCACACCAGTTTGTCAATGGTTAAAAAAACAAACCAGTCCTCACCTACTTTATTTACTAACATGTGGTGTGTTAGTAAATAAAGGCCTGAAGGCCTTTAACATTACACTTTACAGGGAAAATTTAGGCTGATCTCCAACCTTGCCAAAAAATATCTCAAGATGCCTAACTTCCCAAATGGTTTCAGAGAAAGTTCCTCAACAGGGAGAAGTACCAAAATATGATACTGTAAACCTTGTCATGCCATGTTCCCATAGAAGAGTTGTGACAGACAGAGCTTCAAATTCAGGATAACTAAAACACCTTCTCAGATTGCAACTAGTTTTCTCTCTGTTAAAGGAACACCAATACCATCAACAGAGCACATATTTGCATATATAATTCTATCCACTTGAGCTTGATATACCGAAAGATTTTATGGGGAGGAACGGGGGGGACTCAATGCTTTCTAAAATTTCGCCTCTTTCTTAGCACATAAGGATAGGATATAAAGATGATCAACTTTTCGTGTCACTGAGATGTCATTACTTACTGTTAGTGGTTCTCCCTGGAGAGCTTGCAGGATAAAATTACTGACAACTCTACCATCGTTCATATGCATTCGAGGACCAAAGGTATTGAATATTCTGGCAACTCTCACTTCAACTCCTTCCTGTAGGCAAAGAAAAAAGAATTGTTACTCCATTAATAAAAGTGTCTTTCTTCCTAAAAATGCAAATTAACTCCCTTGTCCAAAAACTTTCTTAAGAATCCCTCTTACAGCTTTAACGAGCCTTGTGTTCTCACTGTGAAACACTTTTAACCTCTCATCAATGCTACTGGAAACTGTAGTGCATACGGCACGGTAATTTATACTAGTTCTCAGTATTTGTAATGCAAATTCTAAATCAGTGCTAGAACCACTGATGATTTCAGCACATTTTCTTCAAATAAGAACTTTAAGATTTTTCAGCTGTACCCTTCCAACAACAACCCATTTCACCTGGCACTTATCTACATTTTTCGCATATTAGTGATGTCTCACAATCACCAGATATAGTACCAAGGTAGCATTTCCAAAGATTAGAAAAGTTGAATGCTTCAAGTAAGAATCTTTACCAACGTTATAAAGTAAGTGGCTTTGTAACCACAGACTCAAGGTTTCTAAGCTCCATGCTCCTTACTAGGCTGTGTAAATGCAGGCATTACAATCCAAGTCTCTTCAGTGGCTTAGTTTTTTCCCCAGAAATCTTACTATCATTCTCAGAAGTCCCTTCTGGAGGACATTTTGCAAATCTTCAAAGCAAAATGCAACAAATATATGAAATTGGAAACTGTCTGGACAAAACATTTTAAGACTGGGAGACTGCAGACTGAAGTAATCTCTCTAGAGGTATTTTCTGTTTATTGGCACTTACATATTTGGACAAGCCACAGTTCATGATAAAGCCTACAAGAAGGATGTTTGGCCTTTGTGAGCTGAAGCATGCGCTTAGCTCCTGATGAGTTCAGAGCAGCATGGTATGCTATAAACAGACAGATGCTACCACGTGGGAGTGATAGCCACAAGGCAGGGAGGAAGGTGTCAACTTCAGCCCAGGCCTGGTCCTCCTGCCTTCCAGAAAAAGCCATCCTTGAATCAGTCATCGGAAGCACTTTTAGTCTGAAGCAAACTTTGTGCTTCTGATCCAACTGAAGCAACTGAAGTCACAAGTGCAATGTTCTGGAGTTGCAAACATTCAGTTATTCCTTCAAAGGATGCACAGAATATCTTTTATTTTCAATGCCTTTTACTAAGGCTTAGACCAACGCTTGCCATTTTCTTGGAAGACAAGATTGTGTGTGTAAAAAGTGTATTGTTGGTACATCTGTGACTGAAGGCTGCAGCTTGCACACACTTCCCTCCAGAAAGACCTAGAAACACATTTTTCTTGGAAATAAATGTAATTTTATGTACAGGAGAAACTTGCAGGAAAATCTGATCTTCTCTCTTGGGTATCCAACTGATTCATAAACAAATGAATCCTCAAAGACGTTTTGTGATAGCAATAGCTTTTTACAGATGAGAGCGTAAGAGAGGCAAACATTTAACACTTTAGTTCCTACTTGGTGTTGAGAAAAGGGAAACACTAAGTAGCATAGGTAAAGACCAAGGCTTTCTAGTATGGAGAAGGCCAAGCAACATCCAGTTCTGTTTAACTGCAAGTAGGCTTTCAGTCGCAGTGATCAAACACTTACATTGGCAACTAAATTGCAAGCTAACAGTAACCAGGGAGGTAACTATTGTGCCATAGGAAAAGCTACAGCCTTGGGTCTTCGCCACAAAACAAGCTTGCATCCACAACAGAGCAAAACCAATAATCTCACAAAATCCACTTGGCCCTGCTGAGACACCCTGGAAAGAACAGAAGTCCCTTCCCACGCAAAATGCATCAGTTGGGACACATTCTTTATTTCGTGTTAGCTAAAAAAGCACGGCAGTGTAACATGTCAAACATATACTTCTAGCAGCATATTACAGAGCCATTCCCAATGCCTTCACTGTATCTGGAAATATATACTCTGATACAGTTTCTCATTCTTTCATTTTGCCCAGCACTCTATTTTAAAAAGGACACTGACTCCTTCAGGGAGGGACTGTATTTCATGTGGGCTTTCCAGGTATTGACATTAGTAACAAGTACAGAAAATGAGGCACTTGGACGCTAGTACTCAAGGTAAAAATAACTCATTAAACAATGCTGACCAAAAAGCTTCTCTCATACTGCACAAGCTACAGCAGCAGCCTTGTTTTCCAGTATTGGCTAGAAACTAGCGTGAGATCTAGAAAAGAAAAACAACACATCCTCTGTAGGCACTTACTCACAGCCATAGTGAATCCACTATTTATTCTCCCTTCTATTTCCCCCCCCTCCCCCCACTGTAATGTTGTCTTTTAAAATAAGTAACTTTTTATTTATAAGGTCATCTAGCAAAGCTGCTCTCTGCAGCCTACTGCTTTGAAAAATCTATTTTCTGTGCAGCTGAATTTACATCTGTGCCTGTATAACTGGGATCTACTCAAAAGAAACTTCCACAGACAAAGATTTTGGAGCCAGTAACTTAAGAACTGTCCTGAGTTTCCTTTTGTCATTTCATGAACACCTCCTTAAAAATTCTTTTTGCATGTTGAGTAACTATTCCTTTTTGTATTAACTACCTACGAATACTTATGGTACACTCTTACCTATGTCCTGTTACTCTGACTATCGACACCACCTTAATTATGACGATTACCTCCACTGCATTCCCTCTAGCAAAGCCAATTACTTCCCCAGATTTGTGCCAGTAAGTCATGTACAATATTTTATTATAACCTAGAGAAAGAAGAAAAACTTTTTTTTACCCACTTTTATCCTGCTAAACAAAAGGGAGCTTGAGACTAATCCCTGATGCTGAGATCAAACGCGATCAACTGGCTTCTGTCCTCGCAGTTTAAGACTCTGCCTTCATACAGCAGATTAATCAGAGAGAAAGTTCCTTGAGCAATCCAAAAAAGAGCCCGGGAACAAGCTAATAAAATGCAGCACTGTGGGCTATCAAAACACTTCAGCTCATTCTATTATTTACCAGTATGGATATGTTCACAGAGACCGAGCCTGTACAGAAGGAGAGGGAAGACAGAATAGATGCAAGAAAGATTGCTACCACTTACAGAAATGCCTCCTCTGAACAAACAGACTATTCTATAGCTGTCAGCCAAAAATTAGCATTAGTTATCCAGTCTCCCCTGCTAAAAAAAAAACTCGTCCACGGTCTTCACCATGAGTCTTTACCACTTAGTTCTAGAGATCCCTGCTCCAGAAAGCATCAAGGATGCTAAGATAACATTTTAATTCAAAAAGACATTATAATTTTATCAGATTTTTAAGAAAAGATACCTTCTTGTGTCGACTGTCTCAGAAAATAGGTCAATACAGAATACAACTCAAATGTCAAGAGGTTCTTTTAACTGAAACAGCTTCAACATATGCTGTGGTTGTAATTCATAAGGGTATCAGGTAAGCTTCTCTTACTAACAGTGCTTCCTTCTTTTTCAAGTCCGTATCTAGCTGAACAGAGAGCATGAATTAGACCTCCCTGCATACAAACTCAGGAAAGGGAAAGCTGCAATTGTCTGCTCTCCAGCAGACAACTGCATTAAAAAAATCTGCCAGGGAAAGCCCAGACAGTTGCATGGATATCACTGTGACCTGATACAAGTCTTTATCAATGTTTCAGCTAAAATTACTAAGATTATTGCCTGCATCCCTTGCTTTATTAGTCACTTTCTTACTAATTCACTTGCCTCAGCTTGCATCCCTCTTGTACGTACTGTACGTGACCAATGCAACCAGCCACAGGCTTGTTCCACCAACACTGACAGGAGACACTGACATTGGGAAGTCATGTATACCTACTTCAGTGCATCTGTGCTTGAATTACTAGGATTTCCCCTTCAGACAGGGATTTTAACTTCAGTAATTTACTGCACAATATGGCTTCTGAACATGAGGTGGCAGATAACATAACCCAGCGAATGAGAGCTGGATCACAGATTGCAGTAAGTTTCCAATAAGGGTCAGGAATACATGCAAACAAACAACAATATATACTCCAAACAATTTAGTCATCTCTACAATGGAGAGTTCTGCAGGCTTATACTCATGAATTCGTGTAACAATGACAGCTACAGGTAAAAGAAAATGCCTTACCAGTGCTTCTAGAGCAACAGTGGCTGTATGAGGAGGACACATCTTATAGCCAAAAATAAGAAATGCACCAAATTGCAAAGAACATCAGAAACAACACATACTTTGCATCAACAGATGAATGCTGCTATGGATATATTCTTATTCAAACACATATTGAAGTGAATCAATTTCCAAAGAAAGTTTGAAGTTTTCATGACTTCAAAATTCAATTTGCACAACAGTGCAGCAACAACAAAACCGAAGAACTAAGTTCTCCAGTTACCTGAGGGAAATCAGAAGATGGGATAACTTAGAGCACTGCAGGGAAAGAAAAAAAAAACAACAAAAACCAACAAAAAACCCAACAAAACTAAAGCAAAGAAACTATGGAAAGTATTCAGACTTTTCTTGGGAAACTGCCTCTATTTTAGTCCACAGCTTTGATCATTGAAATACAGTCTTCTAACCTTGTCTTTGGTACAAGGTTATTTTGCAATTGTTAACAGCACAGGGTATATAAAAACAGTAAAGACACTAAAGCATTACCAAAACCATTATGTCTGAATACGGGCCAGAAGACCTGACAATTTTTTCCTGCTTCATTTTCATGTAATTTAGAAAAAGTGTTGCTCCGCTAACAGAATAAAGCCTCCTATTATATCCACGCTACATTTGTATCAGGAAGTTCTGACAACTCAGATAAAACAATACAATTTAGAAACAGGAACTTAAATAATGAAACTCTCCACTTACAGAGAGGCTCCTGTTACCAATGTCCCAGTGAAACAACTGGTTGCATTTTTTATTACTGACTCAGTTACTGCAGCGCTCTCCTCCCCTTTTCACCTTATCTCCTCCAACTGAACATTAGCAACAGACAGCTTTGGAAAACTATATGCCACTTCTGCATTTGTACAGGACCAAACACAATGTTTTGGTTCATGTGCAGAGCTCCTGCACAGCAAAAAAAAAATATTACAGGCAGCTCTAACAACTCACTAGAAAATGTGCAGATCCATTAATCCAACAGCGCAGCAAACACACACCAGCAATTTTTAGAAAATGGCACGACCATCAGGACTGTACAAGGCTAACTGGAACAAGCCAGTTTGAAAAGCTTAGCATTGTTTAATCTCTAAATATATTACAGTTTGCAGGACTTTATTAAACTACGGGGAAGGATTTTTATCTGTGGTTTCTCTTTTATAAAGTATAAAAGCCTGTTTGTGAACCATGCAGTTACAATGGTTGAAAGCAGCACTGTTTCCTCTTTTCAAGTGGAGCCAGTTCATCAAGATGATTAAAGCAACTAACAACAAGCAGTACTTGAAATTTTCAATGGAACCATCACATTTATTGACAATGTTAATATAACTGTGAATGTGTGACCTCTCAGACTTTGCAGAGGAAAGGAACTCCAGGCAATTTTTTTCTTTTCTTTCTGAATTTTACTGACTTGGTATATAGTAACTCAGATGGGATGCGAGTTGCAGTGTTGACACCTGCACTTCAAGGGTGTCAACGCCCTTTCAGTCCGCTGGGAGAGGGGCAGTAGCATCTCAACTCTACCTTACAGGCAGTACCCAAGGTGCCTGACTCTCTGTAGCATCTTACAGATGCCCCTCTCCAACCTTGGCCTCACTAATATTCCTGGATGTAAAACTGCTCTGCATGGCTTCCAAAGAGCTAAAGGGATTCATGACAGCTCTTATCACCACAGTTTAGCTTTGGCCTGGTATACATCCAACAGTAACCACCATGTGTGTCATTAAAGGACTGTTGTATGGGCATTTTACTATTGCCCTGAGGAGATGGTAGTTCTTCCTTTCCCCCCCCTGTGCTCGGAACCAGAAACAATTCAATTCCATTCTTCCACAAAAAGCATCAACTCTGCAACTTCTCTTAAGCAAACGTCATGTGACAACACAAAAAAAGAATGCTGCATACCTAAAAATAATCTATATGAGTATCAAGGAAAGAAAACAACAAGCAATGATTAGAGAATACAGGATGAACTCCCAAAAGAATCGAAGCAAACTGCTTTAATTCAACATAGCTATTTGTTTTCTATCTAATTACTCAATAACTACCTGGTTAGTCACTATTCAACGCCTCTTCAGTTGCAATTCAATCAACAGTTTTCATTACCCCTACATTTTACATCAAGGCCTTTTATGATTGCTGAAGCCAACTCAATTTCTGAATTAAAGATCAGGGGAAAGTACAACTCAATATAAACTAGAAAAATCATTCTTGTATTGCAATTGCAACACACTTCTATATTTAACTAATTTCAGCATCAGCTTGCACGTGTTATTCTCTCACATGTTATTCTCTCACAATTTAATAAAATACACCTCTAATATGTCTTTCCTTTCTTCTGTTACCTATTAAGATTTTTTTGAGTCTTCACAGTCCTGGTTATAGAATATTCTATAATGCAGAGCATAACGCTTGTCCACTTAAAGAAGGTTATACTTAACATTTGCTTACGATAACTCAATTCACTCCCATATGGTTAGAAAGGCATCCAATGGAATTCTTAATTGGAAGACCTAAGCTATTCTAAGGCAATTTCAAAACCATCATGTCGCATCATATACAACTAAGCCCATTTGCTACCACTAAAGCTTGCCGATTCACACAGTTGGTATGAAAAAAGGATGAAGAAAGTAGAAGATGAATTTCCCTGCAACGTTCCATGGTGACCTGAAGTGTTGCTTCAGCTCTGTAGAATTTCTTTACAGATCAATGGCATAAGAGGAGAAATTAAATCTAGTTCACAAAACACCCTTATTATGCTAAGCATTTAAAATGCTGTGTGTTTGTATTTACAACATGCCCATGCGAAGATACCAGATTCTTGCCATGAAGGTAGTGTCAGATGACACTAGTATTTAAATTAAATGACTAGTATTTAAATTAAGCCAGAGTTGGAGTGTACATGAATATTTGTATTTCCAGGTAGCTCCATAATTCCAACTGCTAATTTTTAAAAAGTTAAATGCATAATGAAGGGCAACTCCTGAACATAGCAAAAAATTCACATTGTAGTACTATTTGCTGAAACTCCCTTCCCACCTCTTTATACCCCCTGCAGCTGTATGTTTTCTCTGCCTATGTATGTCAAGGAAGACCTTTCTTACAATTTGAAAACGCTGTTCATTTTCGAAAATGGTGGTATTACCTTATCTAGAAAAACAGAAGTTCTGTGGAGAGAAAACTTAATAGCTGTACAATCATATCACATCTATAGCAAGCACCTGTATATGAAGTTTATGCAGAAAAGCACTTTGGGAGGATAGGAAGGATAGGCAGAATAGTATCAAAGATAAGAGTACAAAATGGAGAAAGCAAACAGATCGAGAAGCTGTTATTATAAGACAGTTTCAAAACTATGCCTTGCATCTTGTTAAGGCAATTGAGTGAACTGAAAAAGGCTTTCCAGGAGGGAGTGCTTGCAAGCACTGAAAAAGAGCTGAAGAGCAGGGAATTCTGAAGAAGTCTGAATCAGAGGATGCAACTTCATTCCCAGATGAACAGGGCAAGGAACTAAAGCTTCCTGAGGCTTGAGAAAAGTTCCAGAACCAGGTACTTCCACTCACACTAAGTAGCATGGCTAACCTATGCTCCCACATGAATTTACGGAGGGAGAGCTACTCCCAGAAGCCCATAGCAAATACCCTCTCAAACCTTATGTGCCTTACATGGGATGAAATGAACTTGTGTACACACATTGAATTTGCAAGCCCTCCATTTCTCCAGCAATTATTTCATTCCTTACCTCTCCTTTCAAGCAGATCCTTTTATATTACTGAACGCTGCTACTGTCTTTGGACTCTTTGACAAGGAATCACTGCTGGGCTTGTTTAAAGACAGCAGTTGTAAAGAGGAAATAAAGTCAAAAAATGCTTAATTCATAGGGTGAAAATAAGTGAACAGAACAACACTGCCAGCAGAAAAGACTGCACCAAAAAGGTCTTGGTCAGAGCAGGCTGCTGAGGAACTCCCAACAACTATGAATAAAGAGTCATCTTTGACTAGATTCGAGAACTGTTCCTATTCAAACAGCCTGTCTGGAAGTATAAAAGTTAATTTTAATTTTATGTATTTTGGAAACATGATTAGATATTTAAGGTACCTAATGTACCTTACAGTGTGCATGATTATGGAAATGACAAAAAAGACAGAGAAATAAGTTTGTTTCTTCTTTTTATTGAAGCTGAGAAGATTCTGGAAATACTGGAGACTGTAATCCTATAAATCCAATTGTTTTGGGCTAGGTCACTCCTGTCTGAAAACCCTCTTAGAAGCACAATACTTATTTTCATAGCAGAAGTCAGACCTTTCCACTAATAAAATATAATGTTTCCTCCACTAATAACAGCCTATTATTTAAACTCTGAAAAGAAACCCAGCTCAAGAGTGTTTCAGAATATACCTGAATGTGGGACAAGCTTGGGCAGACTTCACTAGCCCATAATAAAGTACAATAAATTATCTCACAGAGCAGTCCCTAGGACAAAGAGCTCATTTGCATCATGAGTTTTCACTTAATGTATGTGTGTATCACAGTTCCACCTACAAACCTTTACTATACTTTGTAAATCCTGCATAAAACTTATGGGATAGTATCATGACTCATCCTGTAGCTTTAAGATACAACCCATGATTTTCAAAATCATCTACATTCTTGTCCTTCTAAAAGAATACTGCAGTGTGTACCACAAACTTGCACAAAAAAAGAAAATCAATACCCTACAGCACAAGAATTTCTCATCAAAACTACAATATTCAACTGCAAATGGATTTCCAGACCCATAAGGAATATTTTGCTACAGCGAAGTATAGAAGACATCATCCTGAACAAGAGCAGTAACAGCATATTGGACCTTAAATGATTTAAAAGGGAACAAAGGAGACACAAACCTCTGCCTTCTCTGTCTGGCAAAAGAGATAAGAGAAAATTACTACGATCTCTGTACTAAAATACCATCCTGAAAGTCCTACCGCTTAAGTCTAATTCTGTTTTCAAGGTTTTTAAAAGCACTTAGTATGTTATCGTCTAATTCTATAGAATATATATTTGATTTATACCTTTGTATATTAAGGCTACAAACACCAAGAAACAGTGATATGATTTTCTTTAGTGTGCCACATTTTCTAATTTAATAGTCTCCCAGGGAATAGCTGAACAGCAATTAAATAAGATTCACACGAGTGAAGAGTCTATGCTGGGTTAGTTAAGAATGAGTTTTCTACTTGTTGATCATAAAACCCACAAAAACTGGCATGTATCATTTCACAAACATACTTTAAATTGCATTTTTATCCTCATGTTACTGCATTTCTCTGAAAGAGGGCATTAGATAGCTGAGTATTCATATCTTTCATTAAGGGCTGCATTTATACCTACATAATTTTAAGACATTTCTGAACTGATTTAAAATACATTGCTCCTATACAGGTACTCATTAAAGAGCTTCCTCATTTTTACCTGTATATTCTGATTTCAATAATGCTTATTAAACATCCCACATTTATAATTAATGGCTCTATTCAGCAAAGCACTTCTCAGCACAGGGCCAACTTAAAACAACTCTGTTATCTGGCTCCCAAATTAGTAAGGTCACCTCAGTTTAATCTGTCTAAACTATTTACGATACTGAAAGACACAATATGTCTATCAAGAAGACGAAAGCACATTTTCTTGAGGAACACTGCTCATCTGAAAAAACACAATGGATGGGAGCAATAAAACTTCTGAATTAAAGAAAACAGATTTTGCAGTTACCGTATGAACGCTCCTACTCACAACATTCTCTTTTACCCTCCTACCCCTAAATACACATACTCCAGTTCCGCCATATGTTTGGCTTTCATAATTACAGAAAATCCATTGAATCTGATACAAGTTTAATACCTGCTTCATGTATGCATAGCACATGGTCTCTGCAACCCGCTTTCCTTCATCATAGCAGGCTCTTGGACCTATCGGATTCACATGGCCCCAGTAATCCTCATTTTGCTGGTGAACTTCAGGATCTACAGGGGGGGAAAAAAAAAAAAAATCTTAAATGATCTTCTATCGAAAAGGTGACTATATATAATGAATCTTTCAGTAAATCACTGGTGTTATATAGTTTAACAGCTTCTTTCTGAACTACGCATTTAAAAAAATACTAAGTTTCAACACCATTCCTTATACGTGTATTCAACAGAATGAGAAAAATTACAGTTATGGAAGATGTGAGACTAGTAAGATAACTGAGTACAAGCCAACAACAGCCATCATCTGCTTTCCCCTAAAAGAATGTGAGAACTGAGGGTTAAATTCAGCTCTTCTCTGCAAAGATAGACTACCTCACGGGCACAAGTAAGACTTATCTAAAGTAACTCAAGAGGAAATATTATAGGTTATGAAGGCTGTATTTGGAAAAAAAGCAAGCAAAGCATCTTCAACTTCTCTAAAATAAGAAACAAGGAAAGAAAAATGGACAAAATGGAGAAGTACTGCATTTCTTAAAGAACAATGAGTAGACTGGTGTACCAAAATGTACTTGCTATGTGTTTCTTCTGTTTTAGCCTAAGCATTTTTACTAGCTATCACTAGGCACAGATAATCAGGTTAGACAATCCTTTGGTTTGATACTGTAGAGAAGTTCTTGATTACAGAAAAAACAACCAATGAACAATCTCCTAGGAAGCTCTGTGTGTATGCGCTTTCTATGCTTTAAACAATATTTTGTTAAACAATCACTTTGCTACCTGTGCTGCCCTACTGAGCGTGAAGTTTGCATAAGTTACTACTAAACTTCCAAGTGTTACAGGCTAATTTTTGAAACAACTTTGACAGTCAGTTCTGATTAATCCTTCCAGTCTTTAAGCTGCTCACAGACATGACTACAGATGAATTCCTGCCATGTAAGAGCCACAGAGCAATGGTAAATGCAGAGAGGTGTTACATTATTATAAAAGCCTGTAGCATTCTTAAAAGTGCCCCAGAAGGCGCTGTGATCTGGAAAGTAATTCAGTCTCCATCTCCTTTCCGGCAGAGGAAGCCCTAAGAAGCACTAGGAAACTCTCTATGTAACACTGCTTTTAGAACTTCCGTGGAAACAGGTAACATTTTCTGACTTTATTTTCTGTCCTTTATTTTTCAGCAAAATGACTTCATCTGTTTAGTCAGAGCATGACATGAACAGACTCTCTCCACTGGCTTTACTGACACAACAAAGCCTGATAATGGGAGTTTCAAGTTTTCCACTTCAGCAGGCAGACTGCCGCAGGGCAATGAGGCTCCAAAATTTGGCTATTTTTGCCTGTTGGTCTGCTGTTCCAGAAGAGAGTTTTTTCAATTACAGAAGAGTTGTTGGGGCTTTGTTGTCTGCAGAGCCTGTTCATGGATAATCAAAGGCAAGGCACACTCAAGCCATTTATTTGGTTGCCTGGTCATCTTAGTGAATCTCTTGCTTGGGTATTTGCTTTGAGTCTTCTTGACTGAAGTTATTCCACCAAAAGTGTACTCCTTGAGGTATGGTCTTTGTCCTTTGTCACTTTTTCCCCCCTCACAAAGCTTCGTATCTTATTACGGAGATGAGTATTTTTTGTTTGTTTGTTTTTTAAACCCTAGACTATCACAACTACTGATGAACCGGTGACCATGCCTGCATACCGCCATGAACCTTGCAACAGCGCTATTATCAATTAGGCAAGAGTTCACAACTGCAGAAAGGTTCTCTAGTAGGCACGCAGTCTGTCACACACTCCAAGGAAGTACTAAAGATCCTCGTTTCATCCAGCAAACAGTTCTATCAGTCATTCTCTCGCTACTTCACATCTAGTAACAGCAAAAGGAAGGAGGAGAGATACGGCACCATTGCTCAGTAATACATTTTAAGAGACACTGCAATGGCATGCATGCACAATCACTATTTTCTTAGCTTGGAGGTTATGTCCTTGTCTCTTGCACTGTGCTGCAGACACTAGGGCGATTGCTAAATCGTAACAATTCATAAATACACTCAGAAGAGAGAAGCAGATTTGCTACTGAAATTATCTTTCTTCTCAGGTTTTCATTATGGCATCTGGATTTTAATCAAAGTTCAACAGTCAAAATTGCCCCACAAGCCCTTTTGGAATAAAGCCATAAACTAAGACACAGGAAAGTTACAGACAAAGTCTGAGCCTCCTTCTGCCACTCTGACTAGAAATTTAAAGCAACTACTAATGCCGACATTTTAAGCTATGAGAAGTACATCTGATGAAGAAATCAAGCTAAGACAGCAGTGAAAATCTATCAGTCATCTGACAAAAGGTTTGTACATACCCTTTTACACAGTCACATCTCAATAGCAATGTTTTATCCTTCTTACCTCCATACACCTCTGACGTAGAGGCCAGCAGCAGACGTGCTCCAACACGTTTAGCTAACCCTAAATTTTGGGCAGGGAAAGAAGAGCATAATTAGATCAAATTCAAGAATCTTTCAGTCACATTAACTGCTTTAGAGTGATCCCATTTTACATGTTTTTAAAGGGAATTAGATTTCTCCCAGTAGATAAATCTAGCTGTAAATCACCTCCGTAAGCTCCCACTCCCAAGCTAGAAGACTTGAGAAATAGCAGACAAGCACCCACATGTATGATGTGTTTGCTTCTGGGACTAAAAAGTTACACTGAACCAAGATAGGTTCTAGTGGGAGGTGTCCCTGCCTATGGCGAGGGGGTTGGAACTCAATGATCTTCAAAGTCCTTTCCAACCTAAACCATTCTATGATTCTATGAAGATCCAAGAACTTAAATATATTACACCCTAAATAAAGGCCAAGTAAGCATAAGCCATTCCAGTTATGAAATCAGGATCCTGAAACAACACACCTTATTATGATTACCAAAAGTTAAAGATAAGCTACATAAAGAAACCAATACAGATTAACACGTTACAGGCCAAAACGAATCACTTTCCCTTTATTATGCCCCTTTAAACAGCCCGGATGATCCTACCCATCACTCGAGATTATTCTGCATTCCATTTCAATGACTTTCTGGCCTTCAAGTTGGCATGGCCGATCAAAGAAATCTCTCATCTACGCTCTACAACTGTCTGGTACCTCAATAACTTCTAAATCACTTAATTCTCTGAATTGTACTCACTAGAGTATCACTCAAGTGAGAAACTCAGCTGAACTAATGCCCAGCGGATTTTTTGCCTCTTCATAATATTTAGGATCACTGACACCCCATTCAAGCTGCAGCATACGCCAAATGGATCAAAGAGGGGAGGAAAAAGCAGTGAAGGCTTGAGGCCTTGTTTTCATAGGCTGGAGGCCTTCTTTTCATAGGCTCATTCTCAGCATCAAAACCAATACACCAAGCTGCAAATGTCACCTTGTAATTATCTAGGATAAAGCTAGCCATTAAACATTGTTGCAGAATTTGCTAGCCAAGGCATGCACAAGACGGTGCAGCGCTCTTGATGTTCAGCGTTTACAGAGCCAATGCAGTTCCACCTAGTTCAAGGTTTCCTGTGGCAGAAAGGAGCAGCCAATCATGGCAAAACATGGGAATGTTCCACAGTCACCAAGGTGAGAAGTGAAGTCATGGGCACAACTTTGCTATAAAAATCCAATGCTCTCAATTGTTCATGTGACTTCTATAATTACTGCATAGTTATTACTCCATAGCCAAGTTACAGGCACGAAATTCTTGTGCTTTGATAGCTGAGCTTGCATGTTGTCAGAGTTCATCTGCAGATATATTTAAAGTACAAAAATCTTCAAAGAGGGGGGAAAAAAATGCCCTTATTTTTCTTAAGGAATCAACTTTTTAAGATGTTCAGCTCATCTGCTCCATCCTCCTCTCCCTCCAGTACCTCTGTCCAGGTTATATGATGTCTAGCAAAGTAAGAAAAAAATTTCCACTTACCCAGCATGTTTAGCGTCCCAATAGTGTTGGTCTTTAATGTTTTTATAGGATTATACATGTAATTTGGAGGAGAAGCAGGAGATGCTAGATGATAGATCTGGTCCACTACAGAAAACCGGGGGGGGGGAGGGAAGAAAGCATTATTATTCTCCTATGTAACATATTAAATGAGAAAACATTAGGGTCAAGAAACAAGTGCCTCCTTCGGCATTTCCTATATTGCTACCTACAGACAATATATATGTATACAAACCTGTTGCACCTCAAAGCAAGACTTACTTTTTAGTAAAACAAAAACTAAAGCATAGTATATATATAACATTATTGACACGGATACAGCAGTCCGTCTGAGTGTTGACATTTTTCACTTGTAAAAAATTTAATTATGAGTACCTCAGAGATGTTTAGAAGCTGCAAAAGTATATGCAACATTCTATTACCCTCAAGCTTTTAAGTGACTACCAGCTTCAGAATATCTTTCTCAAATGGAATCCCAAGCAAAGATGGCAAAACCACTTTTTAATATCAGGCAAAAACTTTGGGGAAAAATAAATATTGTATTTTTATTTGTAAGCCACTCGTCAATGAAATATTAATGGGATTAGTACCATATATATATTTGAAATACATACGCCAAGATATGGGCATGAAACTTCTGTCCTTTTTTCCCTATCTACTGCCTTTGCTCCACTGGTGTTCTATGCTGCACTTTGGATAATACAGCGTTTTAGCTTTATTGAAAAAAACCCAAACAAAACCTCCCCAATACAGAGATTCTAGCCTCCCCAGCTACAAAATGTAATTAGCCAACCCACTAGACCATACCTTGCAATCAGTGGAGGTATACTGATGCCTAACCTAGTTTAAAACAAGGTAGTTTGGGTTCTGGCAACAGATTGCCCACATAGTGCAAGTCCCAATCCTGACTAATTAAATTTGCTGTATTTCTGTGATTGTAGTGTAAACAAACCTAAAGATTCAAATCACCCATAGTAAATACATATTTCACACAACAGCAAAATAGAGCCTTGTACAAAAAAACTTAACAGTTACACTGTCATGAGTATAGAGTAGGGCCTGTGTGAACCTCAAAGTCCAACAAGGCCAAGTGAAGGTCCCACACCTGGGTTGGGGAAATCCCAAACGCAGATCCAGGCTGTGCAGTGACTGCATGGAGAGCAGCCCTGCAGAGAAGGACTTGGGGGTACTGGTGGAGGAAAAATTGGACATGAGCCAGCAATATGTGCTTCCAGCCCAGAAAGCCAACTGCGTCCTGGGCTGCATCAAAAGCACAGCCACAAGGTTGAGGCACGTGATTCTGCCCCTCTACTCTGCTCTTCATGAGACCCCACCTGGAGTACTGCCTCCAGCTCTGGGGTCCCCAGTACAAGACAGACATGGACTTATTTGAGAGGGGCCAGAGGAGGGCCATGAAGATGATCAGAGGGCTGGAGCACCTCTCCTATGAGGAGAGGCTGAGAGAGTTGGGGTTGTTCAGCCTGGAGAAGAGAAGGCTCTGGGGAGACCTTATAGCAGCCTTCCAGTATTTTAAGGGGGACCTACAGGAAAGATGGGGAGGGACTCCTCATCAGGGAGTGTAGTGACAGGAGGAGGGGTACCCTTTTTAAACTACAACAGGGTAGATTTAGATTCGATATTAGGAAGAAATTCTTTACTGTCAGACTGGTGAGACACCAGAACAGGTTGCCCAGGGAAGTTGTGGATACGCCATCCCTGGAAGTGTTCAAGGTCAGGTTGGACAGGGCTATGAGTAACCTCATCTAGAGGAAGGTAACCCTGCCCATGGCAAGCAGTTTGGAACTAAATGGTCTTTAAGTCTCTTACAACCTGAGACATTTTATGATTCTGTGATTCTTAATTTAACCATTATTCCTAGCACAAGACAACAAAATAATTTATGATTAAGTTTTATTCATTGATGAAGCTTGTAAATATAGTGACCAAAATAAGAAGTTGTCATTTCAAGTCAAACCTCATCACACAGAATAATTAACTTTCAGCATAAACAGAAGATCAGCTTCTAAGGCAATCTGCATGACTCCATCACCCCCAAAAGTTTTACAGTCTTGACAGAGTAATGACATTTGACAGTTAGTATGCTCAGGCAGATGCCACAAAATATACCCTCTTCTTATATCTTGCCATGCCCTCTTTGGTCTACAGCTGTTAATCTCTAGAGCAGACATGACCAGCTGCCTACAAGATGTCAAAACAGTTCAGAAAGCTACAGAGATACAATTTTGGCAAATGTGTCACATTGGTGAGCACTTATTCTCACACAAAGAAGTGCAGAGAAATACAATTTCACGTACAGACTGCTCTGCTATTTGCTCTCTCATCAACAGAAACTGGTATTTCCATTCATCATCAACTCCAGCGCAGAATCAAGAGAGATCTTTTCACAGAAGGTAACCTATAGATCCAAAGACAGCCTGACACAGTGAGTGTTGGAGAAGACGAGCTCCCAGCTCAGCGTCGATTCCAGGCCCTGCCTGCATTGCTAACGGAACTGAAACTTTTGGGATTCTGTCTGCAACATGAAAATAGTTAATCGCTCTGTATGATGAAGCGTGACACAGAATAATTTCTCCTTATTTTGGTCACTGCTGACATTGTAAGCTTCAGCAGTGAATAAAATCTAATCCAATTATTTTGCAGGATTTCTTGTGCTGGGGCAGTAATGCAAAGTAGCAGCATGGGGTAAAGTTTAATTGGTCTGCTGAACTTTGACATGCCTCCTACAGATGAGCCATGTATATGAATGAAATATGACTGCCTCAAGTTATGCCTCTGAACACAAGCATCCCCTTCTCACAGCATGGTACCGTCATGAAACCAAAGAAAAGGGGTAGACTGGAAGCTGACAAAAGAAACACTCAGAGAAGCTGCTCAAGCAGCAGTGGTTCAGAAAAATGAACAAAGCAATACCTAAAGCCACCTGCAGCCAATACAGAGTTGAACTCTGACTTGAGTATTACGCTGTTTCTCTCTACCTGTTCCATCAAAACCCTTTCTAAATCTAGTTTTCAACAAGCTGTGGTGGAATTTTCGAAGAGTGAAAATGTCAATTCAAAAGCATTGTGGTCACTGAGTAACTTACTGCCCAATCCCAGACTGCCAAAGCAGAAGTGAACACTTTCCTGCTTCCCTATCTCCATACACTTCGGTTTTGTTGTCTTTTAAATACCTGCTGAATTTCTGACACACAGCAGCTGCTATAGGAATGGTTCCTTTAACAGTATGTGGCAATTCAGATGAACAGGGCCAAAAACTACCTTTCCTTTTGCTGCATCAGAATACAGCTAAGCCTGTGATTATTAATGTGGCCAAGTAATTGTTAGCCAGAAATAAATGCAAACAAAATAAAAAAATCCCAAAGGTTCCTTATAATCTTCAAATTTATTTATTTATTCATTTTTAAACAAGTAGCTAAGTGTAACGGACAGCGCTTAGAAGAAAGAAGAAAAAAGAAAAAGAAAGAAATAAAAATAAAAAAGAGAAAGCACTCTTCTCCTGTTCCTTCTTCCTCCTTTTTCTTTTCCCCCAGCTGGCAATTGCTCTAAATATGACAAAGAGAAGGAGCTGGGAGACAAAGGTTTTCCTTGCCAAAGACATGGTCTTGCCTGTCTGAGTCTGGCTTGGCTTGCCTCAACATACTTCCACCCATATGCTTAAAGGCAAAAATAGACCCCTGTGATGAAAAAGTTCAGCAAGAACAGAACTACCAGATGGATGGAAGATGGGACATGTGGCCATGTCAGATGGTCATCTTCTAGATGAAAAGGACAGGCAGCCAGACAGCTCCAGGACCTTTCTCCTTTGCCTAGGAAGTAACCTTTAGAGTATCAAGCTTTAGACCAATTCAAAACATCACTCATTTTCCAAAACATTTAAAGAGCGTCCAACGTATCAGAAAGATGGAAAGGCAAGTCTCTTCCCCAAACTGGTCACATTTGAGCCATCAAGCTGAGCATGTTGAGACAAGTACAGTTATTTCTCCTTCCACCTTTTCTCTTTTAACTGCCAGGTCTAAAAAACATGTACTTTTTTGTCTCAGAATTCCAGCACACCAGTCAGACATGCCAGACAAAGCGATCTGCCTAGCTTGGCTGACAACCTTGTGTGCTCTAGCACAAAGTTGGCAGTTATTTAATTCAGGAGGCAACTTAAACTCTCCTCAAGCCAAAATTGTAAAAAGTTGTAAGAGGATTAACTGTTTGGGTGACTGGGACAGCATCTGCCGGAGGACAGGAACAAATGCATCTTGCAACTGATCTCCATTCCTCTTCCTTTTGTATTAGGTAAATAATAAAAAGTTTTACAACATTTAATTGTGCTGTTATGAAGCCTTCAGCTAGCTTTGCAATTCAGCCATAGTGCAATTAATTGAAAATGACTGTGTGAAAGGTTGTGCAAAGCTTTATGTAGACAGGTAAGGACCATAAAAGAACAAACTAACAATAAAATTCTGCACGTTTTGTATGTAACTCCCATCAGGGGCTAGAACTCTGTAAGCCACTGTGAACACAGCAACAAGAAGTGGTTTACCAAGCACAGGATGATAGACTAATGACAAAAAAGAAACATTAAAAAAAATTTTCATGTTACAATTTTGCTGAAAGAAAAGCAAAAAAATAAATCCCTTTCAAAATAGTACATACATATAAGCTGGCATAAGCATTCAAGCCATCAGGTACCCAGTGACAAATATAGAAATCTACAATCAACATAAATAAAGTTTTAGGAACATATTGCAAGGGCAACAGCAACTAAAATTTGTCAGTTGTGCCCTTTTCTATGTGAAAAGCTCAAAACCTCCTATAATCTAGCGTACAAGTACTCTGTAATACCTAAATCCAGACACAAACGTTCAGTCTTTTGTTTTCCTTAATGCTAAACAAGTACGATCAACATAATCACTCACTTTCACAAAATATTGCAATAAAACTATCTTCCTTCATATCACCTATCTTTATTTCCCGGCCATATCACTGCATGCGTTCTGCATGCTTCCTATGTGACTAGGAAGGGTAGAATCTACTACCTTTCCTATGATAGGAAATTACATTCCTTCATAGGAAGGAATGACCTTTACTTCAATTTCTGCCTTCAACATGTGTCATGGTACTAGAAAGGACACAACGGGTCACTAAATCCACTAAGCACCCACATCCATCACTGTACATGCTAGTCAGGAAGTACTCAGCAGAAAAGCTTTGATCAGAGGCACACAAACAAATTTCTAGAGCTAAAACATATGGACTTTTCTTGTAAAGCTATGCCAATTCCATTACTGTAGGCCAGGCCACAGAAGCTGACACAGTGAAGGGAGACATTTTTATTGCACTGAACTCAAAAGGACTACAAATTTATTTTCCTAATATTAAAACTGTTGCCTGCCTGTAATTTAAAGCAAACTAGAATTACTTTATAAAGCTTTACCGTGATACGGTTCATAGTGAAGCAGGTTTTTTTGAAAGCTTCACCAGAAACCCAGGCACCATTGCACTCGGCTCTGGACAAATAAAATCAGAGTAGCATATGTCATCATCTGCCTTGTCATTACTTTCTATAATTGTACAATTTAAAACCATCAAGTTGAATATATTAAGTATATGGCAAAGGAAGTGAAGAGTATGCGGAGAAAAATCTGAAAACAGAATTAGACTGAAATGGTAAGACTTTCAGGATGGTATTTTAGTACAGAGATTGTAGTAATAGTTTAGATGTTGAGTTGCTTCCACTTCTTTGAAGTGGAATGGTTTTTTGTTTCTTTCTTTGTTTAGGGGCAGGGTATTTTTGTTGTTGTTGTTGAAAACTTGGGAAATTCTGTGCTGCCTTCCTCCTATTCTATTAGCTGTGGAATGCCTGTACCTAAAGTAGGAGCAATGTTTTCCACAGAAGACACATTAGGCAATTAAGAAAAGTGAGCTAACTTGCCCGCTGAAAGAGCTTATTCTCCTCTCAGCCAGCCATACACAGTAGCAGGATGTATGCCATCTAGTGTAACTGCAGCCGTGAATTAAACTTCTTAGGTCATGACAAATCCACACCACAGACTCAGTGTGCGTAGTAAGCCTGTGGAGTCACACAGGGACATAAGACAACAGATGGGACAGATGGAGTGACCCATTGCCATCTTGCCTTCTCACAACATTAGTCACATTAGGAAGTTTTAAGATTTCCTTCCTCCTGTCCACTTAGAAAGGAAGAACTGATTTCAAAGACAAAAGTGCTCTGAACCTTAGTCCACACTGGTCACAGACATTAGGCTAGTAATAAACAAAGCATATAGGTATTAGATAGAGTAATCCAGAATTCAGTGCATAAATTTCATTTCTTTACAGACATACATACTTAAGAGGGTAAAGTACAACAAAGTGCAGATACCAAAGCAGAAGACTACTCACCTTCAATGTACAGGGGCTCAACGACATCATGATTTATCAGTTCGAAGTTCTCATGACCAATCCAGTGCTCCACATTTCTTTTCCTGCCCGTAAAGAAGTTGTCCACAACTGTAACCTCATGGCCATCCATCATTAGTTTGTCAGTAAGATGAGAACCCACAAACCCTGCTCCTCCAGTTATCTGCGTTAGGACAGTTGGTATAAATTTCTTTTTCTTTTTACAGAAACACCAGACAAAGTCTACAAACATGAAGACAGAAGAACAGTAGCTTTCAGGTCTTTGCTTACCCCAGGGGAAACAACTCCATTTCCATGCTTAATTTTTTTAATCCAATATGTACAACATTTAAAATTTCAAGAGAGATGCTTGACTTGTTTCATCACTGTCAGACTAGAAGTTCAGCTAACCATTCTCACCAATAAAATCTCATTTCAGATTAGATTTTTTTCCTTCAAATTGGATTGTGCCCTTTTATGCGACAGCAAAGCCTAAAAAGACCCAAAAAGGTAAGAGGAGGATTCTCTGCGATTCTCATTTCCCAAAAAAGAGATGACAGAATGCCAGGTTATTTTTGTGGAAGACTTCTAACATCAGAAACGTCAAAGCCAGCTTTCGTCTGGTTTAAATGGAGACAAGTTTGGTGTTCTGAGTAAGTACTACAAATTCTTTCACCCTTCACAGAAGTAAGGAAGGAAGCGTATGCTCAGACAAAAGCAAGTCTTGGAAGATCTCTCATTTGAAATATCTGATAAACCCAAAATTATTCCTTTTGTGTTTTAATGCATCCAGAGCCCACATCCTATCGTTCTGTTTTCAGCCTCTCATACCATTAGCTCCGACATCCAGCATTTGCCTGTCTTGGAACTTTATGATGTTTTACTGCAAAGAAATAAGCAGAAATAAAATATTTAAAAACTTGTACTCTTGTTCCATTGCAGATGTAGAAGCAAGGAAGTTGTTTATTTTTTCCCTTTCTGCACTTCAGTCTTTAACCGTAAACAAACGAACAAAAAATAAATCACTAACTCAGTATTGAAGCAGTCAACACAGTAAGTAGTAGAACTGCAAGTTGTGTGACACATCCAGACAGACGTATCTACAGAAGCAATTATCTTCCCTGCACTTCATAAGCCATTTTCAAGGATACACAAAAACATGACAGATCACCACTCTCAAAGAATGAGGGGATTTGTAAAAGCCCTGTGTGGCATCAGCTATGTTATATGACCACATGATCAAATTCACATTTTGAGAGTGATTCAGCTGTTGAGCTCCATTCTTCAGCTGCAGTGACAACTAACCAAACAACAAAATGACATGGTGAAATTGTCAAGCAGGAAACTCATGAACGGATGATGTGCTACAATGACAATGTGCTGTGTGGAGAAGGATGCAGACGCCTGAAGTTCTTTCCCTTTGGGCTAGTCAAAGCCTAAACTTATCTTACCCGCTCCCTCCCGATCCACTATTGAAAAAAAAGCCAGATTAGCAGAAATTATCTTTTTTAACAAAACAAAAAACAAAAACAGGAAAGACACAAAGGCAAATTGAAAGCCATCAAAAACTGAAGAGGGGGAAAAAAAAAAAAAAGAGATAACTACATCTGTTCTTTTCTGTAAAAACTATAACATCCACTTTTTATATTCTCACACTTTGTTTTTCTCCTTAAAAATTCCCAGCCATCAGTGCGTCAAAGACATTGTTAAGTACCAGTTCATAAAATAATCATTTAGTTGGTCTATATAGTATTCTTTTGGGTTTATCAGGGCTTCTTTGTAGCAGATTCAATATGTGATTCAGTCCCTTGACAAACCTAAAGGAGAAAAAGGATTTAGGAGAAGCCCTCTTTGAAAAAAAGAAAAAAAAAAAAATCTCAGGGGTCCCACTACCCCAGAACAGACATGGAAGGAAGAACAGTTTTCTGGCAGAATGCTGTGACCAGGAAAGAAGGGGAGTAACTGAGTGAGAACAGCCCTCTGCCAGGTGCCACCACTCACCAAGGGAAAAATATTATGCATGGAAAACTTACTGCCATAAGCTTATCCTGACTTGGAAGTGAGTTGCAGCATTGCTGAAGGTTCCAAGGGTTTTGGTTTTTTGTGGTGACCAGAACAAAAGTATTCTGTACATGACCTGAACCTATTCATTCAACTACAGCCCAAGGAAATCCCCTGCCGCTACTTCTATTTCCAGAATTCCAGAGAAGACAAACTTGATGCTCGCAATATATCTTCAGTGCAGTAAGAGAAGGTGTCTTCTTCCCCATCTCTCTTTTAGAAAAAAAATGTAAACCAAACCAAGCACTACTTACAGCACTCTTCTATACTATATGCAAGCAAAAAAAAAAAAAAGAAAAAAAGCACAAACCAATTTTGTGTGGAAAGAAGTCTCCAATTACTTTAAATCTGTAAGTAGTTTTTACGATAAATCTGTGTTAGCATATCACTTCCATAGGTATTAGATAAAGAACTACTTGGAAAAGGAGCTGAATTTCCCCTGGAAAAGTAAACAACTGCATAAATTATTTTTATCATTACTTGAGGCTACATTAAAAAGAAGAAAAGATGATTTATCGCTGAAGCTCTCTGTATAATCTTCCTGCAATCACTTGTAAAATCGAGGACAATATAGTTCATTTCTAAATATGACTTCCTGCAAATCACAATGACATATTAATCTACAAAATCATATACTGTATGAGAATCATTTCCATATCAGAATTGAAGCACCAGCAGCTGGGGCTTAAATAGGTATTCTTTAATAAGACATCATTAATAAAGTATTTAATTACTTAGTAGTGCCAATATGCTTGGTAACTTCAGCATCTACTAAAAAGCACAAATATTACTGATAATTTCCTCCACTAGAGGCACTTAAGTTTGTGTATTTGCTAGACGGGTTCATTTCTGCTGTCTGCGGTCAGATTCAAAACATCGAATGTCCCATACGGAAATTATTATAATTTTTTTTTTTATGCTTTCATTGGTCTACCACATTTATTTCAGGAAAAACCCACACAACAGACTGAACCAATTATCAACACTATCATCCATAATATTAACAGAAATCCTTCCCTTGCATACAAAAGCCTGTGGCTAGTCACTTCAGAGAACTGAGCAAGTAGATAAATCACGCACAACAGGATGAAGACTCTTTTGAATGAAAGTGCCATAGTATCTAGCCTCAGCTGAAATACCACCCCTACTAGCAACCATCTCCAAACAGATGCAGCATAATAAAAAATAACTGCTAGAACTGTTGTCTGATCAGGTCAGCACTGTGGAGACTGCATTCAGAGAAAAATCAGAATTTAGAATGGATTCCAGAAAAAGATGCAGTATCAACAAAATACAAAGCAAATTATCTACCAAAGTTCACTTGGCTTGCCAATTCTTGTGTTTTCTCCTGAGAAACTTCCAAGCGTCATGCAAGGTCTGTAGGAGTCCTCAATAAGCTGAATTCAGCTATTCAAAAGAATTTTCAGGAATATTTTAGGAATTTTCAGAATTAAGCCTCTCTGATGTTTTCCTCAGTGTACTTTCCACATTCAACAAGCGAACAGGGAGCCTAAAGGTCTATCTCCTTCAGACTGTCATAAAAATGACAGAATAACACTGAAAAACTAAACTAATTTGGTAACACTTATTCTTTATGAAGTTTTGCAATAGCAGTAAAGACTGCTATTGTCTGATAAAGCAGTAAAACCAAAATTTGTTTTTAATTGCATCTTTTCAGTTTTTCTTCAAAATTTTAAAGCATCAAAGCAGAGAACATCAGATAAGTGAGGCGCTTTACCAGGGATTTGTCCCAGACACTGCTCTCTACTACAGAGGCAGAAATTCATAAATCTATATTTACACATCTTAAGTAGCTATGCTTTCTCTGCCTCTTCAAAATGTGGGGACAGTTTTTTTACCCAGGACAGACAGAAACAAGGAAAAAAAATTAGGACACAGCTAACTTCAAAAGTGATTGTAGACAAAACTGGAAAGCTGATGTTGCAGCACATTTTGCTGAGTTTAAGAATGCCTTTGACGACTACTTGTCCTTAACTTACCTTCTTCTTCCACCCTAAAACACCCGTGATGCTTCAAAATATCAGAAACAACATCGAAGATACCAGAAAGATGAGCATTCCTTCAGTCTAATTAACGGGTCCTTCTTAACAGTGCTGCAGAGCAGCTACTTTTCTAGACTTATGACTAGCATTGTCCAATTCAGTCACACAAGCTTTCTGTCAACATGTGCCTAAGTAGTATCCCGGTCTCTGCAAGTTTAAGTCATCTGGGAGCACAAGATGAAAGACCCTTTAGCAATGCAGTCCTGAGAAGTTACAAGCAGAGAACAGTAGCTTAATTGGCAAGTCAAACCTCCGAACCAGAGCCCAAGTGTATTATCCATATGCTGAGTTTGAGTATGTCAACACAGAATAAGTGAAGTACTACTCTAAACCCTGTGAAGCACACATGACATACAAGGTAATTTACTTTATTCCTGCTCACATCTTCACTTAATCCTACAAAACTGATTACGTTCCACAGAACTTTTTTTTTTTTATTATTTCCTAAAAACAACCCTTGAGTAAATACCAACTTACCAGGATTCTTTTACGATCCTTTTCTGATAAAAATTTCACTGGAGGGTATTTCTGGGTGAAGCTACAGAACATTTCAAAATAAAGAAAAAAAACTATGTAAGTTTCAGCCTTGCTTCTTCTTTCACATATCTGTCTTCTAAATATGAAGAAGTGCTCTGGCAACCTCCCATTCCTAAAGTTCTGCTATGGGTATGTTTAGTCCTTTTTTCTAAAGAAGGACCTAGGCCCAGATAAGAAAGTGCCTATACTTTGTAAAAGCAATGTGAGAAGCATCAACATTTTTCTGCAAAAAGTGCTTTTAAAATTTCTGCTTAGCTGATTTTCTAGAATGAATCACTTGACTTCTACCTTTTGAGAGCAGAACTAGTGCCAGGCATGACATCCCAAAATTTAAAAAAAAAAAACCAAAAAACAATAAAACACAAGCAACTATTGGACTTTTTTTTTTTTTTTAAATTTTAAAAAGCAAACAATCATCTTAAAAGTTCTGGAAAAGAAAGTAAGTTGTTTTGACTTACCACACTGACTTCAAACATTTCTTCTTAAAGTTTAAATATGAAGTTTATAATATAATGTTTTAATTCTCCCTAGAGTTTCACAGTAATCAATGTAAAGTTTACCATCAGAATATCAAAGAAACTCTTTTTAAGATACTTCAATTTTTGCCAAAGAGCTTACTCAGTATGAAAGCTAATCCTAGTGGGTTTTGTTGTTTTTTTTTCCCCAGAAATAGCTAGACTGCCATTGTTTTGATGGTCTTCAAGCTACTTTCACTTTACTTTTTTATACCTTATTCTTTACAGGAACTTAATCAAAACTAAAACATCCTAAAACAAAATTATGTGACATACAACTCTTAGGTGCTCTCTCAAGCTTAAAATTGATCCTAGGAACCTTAGATGATTTCATGGGCACAGAACTGTATCACTTCTTTTTCTCCCCACTGGCATGCATTTTGCATACAGCAACAAACTCCTCCAAAGGAAGGTGTGAATTTTATTTTATTTCTTTCTTTCAGTACTTAGCATTGTAGTCTTGGCAATATTTTCATAGCTCAGTTTTTTTTTTAACTAAATATCAGCATGACACTGGACAGAAAACAAACTACGATTACTCTTCTCTAGTAAGTCGACATGCTAGAGATGCAATTGGATGTAGCACGCAGGAGGTACATATGCCAAGACTTCACACTAAAATTACAGTTTCATCTACTCACAAGCAGTACCTGACTGAACTGACCCTACACCTCTGATCTTGAAGCACCTCATCTGCTTCTAACCTGCAGTACTGGCTCAACAGGAATTCTTCAGAGGCAAAGCTTCTGTACTTGTGTCAACTTTTCATCCCAGAGTGAAAGTGATTTTCAGTTTCCTGGATAGGGGAAATACAGCAGCGGAATCTTCCAATATTACTCATACAGGAAAACTGAAATAAGAAGCTACCTACACTTGCCTTATATCACCACATGGCTCACTAACAGTAACTCTATTTCTTTGATTTAAACTGAGAAGCAATAAGAAACAGCAATGCATAAGTATAATGCAGACACGTAAAACACAGCCTTCCTGTGAGAGAAAGGCAAATCCACCAGTAACAACGAGAAGCTTATGGAGTTTGGAAAAAAAGTAAAGTGCCAAATAACTTGATGCAAGGTAAAAGTCAGTCTCCTCCACTTTGAAGACCACTATTTTAAGGTCACGTTAATCCAGCATGCAGTAATACTGCTGCCACAGGTACCTCCCAACCATTTTTGCTCCTTCCATTACACCATTACTAGGCTTAGCGGCAGTGGGCAGGAGTCTGAAACTGATCCAGTTGAATGTTTATCTTTTGGCAACAATCTTAAGTTTATCTTGACCTAACGCTTGCTTTGATAACTACACTGCAATGCTTTTGCTGTGCAAATTATGAATAAAAACATTCCAACTTCAGCTTCAGTTAAACAATCTCTTGTCATGAGACTAACATTAAGGAATTCTTGTCTTTCCTGCTTCCCAAAAGCATGACGATGCCTTGCTTTCAGGTTTTATCAGTTTATGACAGAAAAAAAAAAACCATCCACACTAGACAGTAAGCTTTGCAAGCAGGATCAGCCTTCAGGGATCTAATAGCGATTAGTTATTTACTGTCATTTTACATAGGTATAAAATTCAGAAATTATTAATTGCAACAACCCATATGCAGTTGAACCATCACAGGTAAATGGCTCCACTATTTGAAAAGCCCAACAACAATAAGGGCCCATATTTTGACATGGGCCATAAGAGACCATAAGCCCATACTTTGTGGAAGTATAATTCCCAGATCAGATCATACAGAGGGGAAAAAAAAAATAAATTATTCTTCCTCCTCATTGCTAGACATTTGAAACAAGGCTCATCAATATACTGCAAATACTACTTGAAAAGAGCATTTAGATGGCTCCTGGGAGAAGTTTTAACTTATTGATTTCACCGAAAAACTCATTGCTCCTTTGGACAAAATATGACAATTATTTAAAAAAAAGTGTCAAACAGGATAACCTCCCACAAAGGTCCTCTGTGAATGGCAGAAGGAAATACCTGAATTGCCAACCACTGAAGCTGAAGATATACTGGGCTATCACTAAAGATTAAAGTCAACTGAACAAAGGCAGGACATCAAAAATTTCTTCTGAACATAAAATCTTTACTCTATAATTTGGCCATTATAATGGGTATGGTAGTATCACATGCAACTACTACAGGTGACACAGTCTATTTGTTTCATGTTGCCAATACAGTGCCTACTTTCATCCATGAAGTTCATGCTTATATTAAGAGATGAGCAATCAGATCAGTATTCCCACTGAAATATACTGCATGTGGCAGGCCACTGAATCTTTCCAATCCATTGTAATGAACAGAACTGACAACTTTTTTTTTTTTTTCTTTTCTCTCTTTTTTTTTTCTTTCTTTTTCACTACAGGAGGGGAGGGAGAAGGAGGGGTAACTGCTCATTGGCAAGACAACTCAAAACACAGTGGGTGTCCAGCATACTGCTGGCCAAGGGCGATGGGATTCTGCTACCCTCTCCAGAGGAACAGCACACAACCACCAGTATGCCATACATAACCATTCAGGCTTACTGGTACTGCTTGGATAAGTCCAGATTTGGCCCTTTGTCATACAGCATTCTCAGCTAGCTGTTTGCTTGGGAGATCAACAGTGCCACCTGTGAAACAGTACCACTGTCAAAAGCAGCAGTGTCCTTGCCAGAGCCGACAATTCCCACCCCTATTCCAGACCTTATTTCGTGATGTAAAGCAGTTGCCCGTGAGGACTGATCTGCCAGAAAGGCAACCAGGCTGGGGAGTGAGTTATTTGCAAAGAGAGACTGAAATACCTGGTTTCCCCATCCAGCTTACTATCAGCACTCAAAGTGGTTCTGCTAGCATAAAAGTGAGGCAACATTGTTGCAGGATGGACACAAGCAGCCAGAGAGAAATGGACCAGGCTTGGATTTATTTAATTTTTTTTTAACTATCTCAATTTAAGGTGCTTGTGGAACTACGGTACATATTTAATACCTGCAGTTCATCAAACAGCCTGTCTGCTTTTCCTCAATCACATCATGCAGTTTAATCCAAGGTACCAGATTCCCTTACAAATCCTGAGAGAAGCGAGTCAGTCGGGCTCACCCAAAGCACCATGCACAGACTAAGATTCACAGGCAAATCACTGTGCGTTAGCTGAACGGTGGTAACTGATCACAAGTGTGGGAAATATGAGGTAAAACACATTTTCAGTCTCTTGCAGTTGAAACCAGCATGTTTTAGCACACACCTGGGTTGGACTTACTAAATCACAGTAGTCCATTCACCAGCTGGACTCAAAACAGCAAGCTCCTCCCCAGGATTTGAACTTTACAAAAATCTAGCACTCCCAGTTTACTTTAGGGGGATCAATCAACCTGAATACCTTGAGCATTAATATCTTCCAGCACTCAAGGCCACATCCTCACTTAGATGTGATCAAAATCCAAAGGCACTGAGGGTATATGCAAAACATTTATCTCAAGCCGACAACTACAGTATTGACCACTACAGAACAGAAACTGATCTTTTTAACTGCTTCCCAAATTTAGCAAAAAACATGTACCTTTTTTCTAGATCTTTGATTTTCTCCCGTAGAGGTGCAACAGCCTAAAATAAAGGAATAATATTTAACCTTTGAAGAACAGAACAAGATTCATATCACAATACATGCGTATAGAAAGTTACTTTAGAGTAAAAATCATGGCAGCCTCCTATGAAAAGCTTCACTGGAGACACTCCAGAAAACTTGCATCTTAAAGCATCCTTTATGTCAAAAAAATCCTTGAACCTTCTTTGGCAAAAAACAAATCACCCAGTACAGTGTGAAATCCCTTAACTTACCACTGAAAACTAAACATCGAGGCTAGGAGTACCACAATCTTGTTGATAAGAACATCCAATGATTCCTATTTGGCTAACTGAAGTCACAAGTGACTTGTCCAAGGCTGTCAAAGCCTATCTATATTAAGCAACATTACAATAAGACAGTCAGTAAAACCTCAGCTATTTAAATGGACAGCAGATACATATACTGAAAGAGTACACAGATGCAGAAGCATTAGCTCCAGTGCAAAGGCTGTAACTCTCTCAGAACATGGTGTGTAACTTTAAATAAACATCATGTTTAAAATCTAAGACATGTTTTACATCATGATTCAAGGGTATATCTAGGCTTTTAAAAAAAAATACTAAAATGAAACTTGTTAGAAAATACAGTTCACCTACCAAGACTTCTGTTTGCATTTTCACGGCTTTGAAAGAGAGAACCACTTAAGTCAGCATTAGTTTCAGGTTCTTTATCACATGACCCAAATTTCTAACATTCCTGCCAAACTTCAGTAAGTCACTGAACTCTTGTGTTTAAATTTACTAAAACCTTGTCACAAAATTTACCATCTAGGACCATACATAAGTTGAAAGCTATCAGACGGTTACCACTTGAAATGGTACTATACAGCAACACATCACCAATCACTATTAATTAGTTTTATACAAATATTGCTGGTTAAAGCTAGACAATTCAGGAACTTCACGAACCGAAATAAGCTCCATATTCATATTAAGAGGAAATACAGTATTGTCATTTATATTCATTAAATATCTAGCTCTGTAGAGCAGCAAATAGTTCTTGAACCAGTTGTACTTATTCTGATGGTTCAAGATACTGTATAATTAAAGCTTTAAAAACAAGATCTAGAAATGCTCAACTTCTCAGACCTTAGAGTAACTCTGATTTCTTAGAGTAACCACTGAATTTCAAGCATTTAACCATTGTTAAACTGTGATTTTTAGAATGCTTATGCAAGGTTTACCAGAATTTTAAAAACAAAAAAGGAAAAAAAAAGAGAGAACTAAGAACACCATCCTTCCATTGATTTTAAGCAATTTCTTGTTGTGTCCAGGGGAATGATTAGCTATATAAACCTGTTGGAATACAAGACACTAGACACACCAGACTACGGTAGTACGGTCACACACACCCAGACAAGGGGTAGGGAGTATTGGCCTCACAGACTTTTGTATCTATTATATTCTTTATTTTATTGTATTAGACTAGAAGTCTAAAAACTTCTGGAGAAAGATCTGTTGCATACATTCGTAATATTTCACAACAAAGTGAGGCTGGAATGGAAATTCAGAGGTATTGGTACAGAAGTTCAGGACCACCAGTGTGTTCAATACCTATGCCTACTCCAGCAATTGCCAGGACTTATGCTTAAAGCATTGGTACTGCACACCATCCCCGACCACAAACACCGCTACATTTGTTCATTAGTTAAGGACAAAGCAAAGCATTTTTGGGAGTGTTCAAATTTCTAATCAAACTTATATATACTTAACATTTTGTTGGGGCGACAGAAGAAAGAATTTGTGTATATCCTTCATTCAATAAGAAAAAAAAACAGTTCTCGGGAGGATTCTACCACAGTCTCTGCAGCAAATAAGACAGTAGAGCTATTACTTTCAAGAAAGGTTTAGAGGAAAAAATTAAAAATATGAGTCACAGACCTATGGCAGAAACTCCATTATAGTAAAGAACAGTTCAAAAACTCATGTACAGACACAAATCCAATGCTTTGAGTGGAATGGAGAGTGATAAGATAGAATTAAATACACCCTTTCAATACAAAATGGGGGAAACTGAGTCCTCAAAACAAAACAGACTACAACTATTAGCAAACTAACCTCCTCTATTTTACTTTCCACCTTCTGATCCCCATTTTCTTGAAGAGACCTGTTGGCAAGAAAAGAAAAATCATAATCCACACCTAAGCAACAGTTGCTCCACTGCACCTGCACCATGCTTTTCCTGCTAGGACAATATCTTCAAAGCAATCCAGGTTAGTGTTATTTCAAAGACACACCCAGAGCCAATGAAGCAGACGGTCCCATTCCCATTGAAATCAGTTAGTCTCGTCACCAAGTTTGGCAGAAACTGAACCAAGCCCACAGGAGAGAATAATAGCAACAAAGATGACATTGATTTTACAGAGAAAGTTAATTTCATTGTAGAAAAGTGTCTAATTACTGCACTAAGGTGGGGTCAGCAGAAACATTTTTGAGTGTAGCTTTACTATGCAAATGCGTAAGACAGTTTTTTGAGAGTCTCTGTTTACTGCATGCTACAGGTATGCTAACAAAACGTTTTCCTTTAATATCACAACTGTAACTGCAATTTCAATCAAAAAGAGAAAAGGGCAAATGTGTCTAGTTTTGATTTTGAATTTTTACAAAAACAAGGAAAAAAAAACCTAACCAAAACTTGTCTTAAATGACCATCTGATGGGCAATACTAACTTAGCGCACAAATGCTACTTGTTTGAAATGAAGCCAAGCTTATATACTGAAGAACGTCAAGGTAACTTGTGAAAGCAGAGTACCATCTAAGAAAAGATGGTGTCTTGCACAAATATATGTGGCCTTATTTAGCATCCAATGGTGTAAAGTATCTCAATTAGTTGGGTTCTTTCTTTGAGTAAACTTCTACAGGTGTAAAATATGTATTTTTAAATTTTACCTCTTGTATCTAGTCTATACAATTTTCCTTAAGTTTGCATAGTTTTGGGTTGTGGTGGTTGTTTTTTTTTTTTCCAATTAAATCTTCTGAAAGGGGAATTATTTATCTTACAGTAGTAAGTTTTTGCATACTAGAGGATTCATGGGTATCCAACATAAAATGGAGTGTTTTCAAATAAAACAGAGCTCCTTCACTTGGGACCTGAAGTCATTACACCTCGGGAAACAGAAGATCCTTTGTTAAGCAGATATACATATGCCACACTGTTAGAAGTCAGAGCAATGATTCCCTTCATATCCCTCTGTAAAACTCTCTTACTAAAAAGTCAGTTCAGCCTATTACTGAGGCAAAAAACTTACTGACCAGATTCGTTTTGTCATATCAGTAGAGTGCAGCAAATTCCTAGATTAAGACGCACAGATCCTGAACCATCCTTTCAAAACAAATTGCAATTTATTATAATAGAGGCAAATGAAAACCCTCAAGTTATCATAGTATGAATTTATTACAAGGAAGCAATGTGAAGTAATTCTTGTTAATTTTTCAAATGTTTTCCTAAATAACAGAAATCTACAAAAAGCTATGCGAGCAATCTGTGGAACACATAGCCTTTCCTCTGTGCTAAATGAGCAAGAAAAATTTGGGAAGCCTCTCAGAATACAAAAAAGTTCCCTCAAAAATAGTTCCTACTATTGTTTATTCACAAATCGTGGAACTTAAGGACTGGCACTCTGCGGTTTAGTTTTTAATGAGCTCTTCCTCCTAACAAAGACAATTTTATTGGCTGAGGACCAACATCAAACCTTCAGAAGTAAAAGGTTTCCCCCTCAATAGCTCTATAATGGACACCACATATAAGAAGTCAGATGCAGCTAGTAGTAGAATTTGTAAGGACAGCTTATCAGGGAATTAACACACTGGATCCCACACCCACCTGCCCTCCTCAAACCCCTCTCTGAGGTTCTTGTCCTTCCTTATGACATGCTCAGCTGCTCATGTAACAGCTGCTAAGCTGCCATAGTTTGCTGGTCACGATAACATGGTAATCTAAATGCTATCTCCATCTGCAAGGCCCAGCAGCTCAGCAGCTGTTTGCCCAACAGCTGAACACTGCAGCAAGGGTGGGAAGCTCTATGAGAAGTAAAGCGCATAGCTGGGAACAGGAACAGATCCCAGGCTAAGCTGTCCTGGGTGAAGAAAAGCCCACAGAGAATTCATTCATCTTCTTACTTTGCCTCAAACCTTCTTTACTCTGTGCTGCTACGTGTGGCAACAGCGTACCAAAACCCTTTACTGGCAAAACAACGTGGTGAAATATGTTGTCCTCTATGCACAAAGACTTTGTTGTAGGGAACAGACTGTCCTCATATTCTCTTCACCTTCTTTTGCAGTTTTGTCTTGCCGGTGAATTTTTCCAGAGGACAAAAACTCACATACAAGCAGAAATATTGTGAAAATCTGCATGTATTCCATGTGTATGCTGTGCTTTCCTATTTCTAAGGCAAAAATTCTGAGAGAGAACGCAGGATTTTTTTGCTTTTCAGTAGTTAAACCATCGGATTCCCTCCCAATTAATTGTGGAGAAGGAAAAGCCCTCAAAACCACATTTCTAATTCTAGGTAGAGAAACATAATCATGGCAAGCAGTGGAAGATCTAGTGCTCTTCAATGTTTAAGCCTATACTGTCACTGAGATATGGTCAGATCTGTGCTGAGGAAAAGCAGAATCCAAGCCTAAGCGCGCAACTACACCAAGCAACTTGCCTGGAAGCATCTCCAAAATCAGAAGATTAATTTGTGTAAAGAAAGGCAGATGCTGAAGTGACAGCAAGATCTAGGCGAGATTTGCAGCAGATGTATAACCCTGTTTGAGACTGAACACCTTGTATTTAAAAAATGGTATCAGCTGCTTAGCAACTATCCAAACAACAATGTGAGCTGCTGTTCTATTTTCTCCCTACTGGATATGCAGTGACACATGCTGATGGGAAAGGTAAGTTAATCTTATTTCAGATAAGGATATTCAATTAAAAAAATATATACATTACCTCATATTGACAAAGTTTCCCCATACAGCTGGAAAATAAGAAAAGAGACACGTTAGTGTTATATAACAGTACCTGAGATCATTTTTCCCTGTTATCATCAAAAGGAATTTAAAATGATGTTATGTATGTTAATCACAAATTATCTAAATAAGTTACATACGTGATATATATACATGCACAAAGTGACTAGAACACAGTTTAAGAGTATGGGATGATTTCTGATGAAATTACATGCGACTATAAAAAAAGTAGGAAAAGACAGTAATTCAATAAAAAAAGGACTAGACTTGGATTCCAGTGCACACCTGGAACTACTAAATCAGCAGATATGTTTATCTGATTATTATCCCCACATTATATTACATAAACAAAATGTACGAGAATCCTCTGAACTATAATTTGACAGAACACACAGATTAAACAAACCAGAGCTCTGGACCTGTTTATTAGGGATACTGAAAAAACCCAGCAAGAGCAAGAAAGAAGTCCTGTAGACCTGAACCACACAAACTGGAAACTGCAGACTGATAAGAGTAAAAAGACTGGCAACTACATGTGATAGCCACACCAGTCCAAAGAGCTGTCAGAACAGTCCTGAATTAAACTTAGCAAGTACTTGTGTGCATGTGAATTCTCCCTCTAAATATGCATACATTGTGATGCAGACACAAAAGGTACCTAAGCAACATAACCAAATGCCTCACTAAGCAAACAAAGATCATTTATTACACTCTTTTTGTATTGAGAAGTTTTAAAGATGACAAACTGCAGTGTAAAATAGCAGAGCAAACGTATCAGCTGTTCCTCTGTGTTCACAAAAAGATTCATCTGCCCAATTTATTTTCTACTAGAAAAAAAAAAATCTTCTGAAACTATTCAAGGTTTAAGTGATTACATGAAGACTACCAGAAAACTGATTTTCCTTTTAACTTTCAACTAGGACACAGAATGTAGTTTAAATCGAAAAAATGAGAAGCCATAAACCAGCCTACACTAAAGAGCTGACAACTTCAGATCATCAAGACAAACAAGGTTAATACAGAACAGTTACGTAAGGGACTCTGCAACAGTAAGCAACACAGGAAATATACCCAGAATATCGCCATCAAAAAAAAAAAAAAAAATCATTCTGCAATTGCACTTTAATAGAAAAGGCTCAACCTAAGGATCCAAATTCCACTGGTTCTTAAGAAGGAGTAGCCGCCTATATGCAGTATTAACATACATATAGAAAGCTTCGAAAGTGTCCTCAGTTTTTGTAAGCTGCACTTCAGGTCTCAAGTAGAAGCTAAGGAAGTATTTTCCCTAGATTCAGGCTTGGCACATACATTTTCATGATTATTACTTACTGATATCAAGCAGACAATGAGGTGTTACAGAAACAAGAAAACAAAAAACGCTGCTACAGTCACAGCCATCTTCCAAGCAAGAGAAGAAATGAGGCACACCCAGGAAAAAGGAGCGGGGAGGACATGGGTGAGGATGCAGTAATGCAGTTGCTGTTACATCACTCAGGGGATGGCAAAGCTACTGAACTGTTTTTACCTACTGAGTAACTTAAATGAATCCATGACAGACTATCAAACAAACTGTAGGAGGCCACTGTGATATCTGTCGTGGCATCATAAAACCTCTATCGTCTTCCGGGGAAAAGATAAGAAAGCTTTATATTAGAACAGCTGACCAATAAAATCCAACTGAATTTAAAAAACACTGTGGGTTTTATGTTAATTAGATAAAGTAAATACTCTATGGGAAAAAGGGATACAGTGTTGATCAGTAAATTAAATTCAAGTTATTTACCCTCTGTCTAGGATTTTAGACTAATTTGTGATAACATTAATGGAAAAATGCCTTTTTTTTTTCCCCCCAAGTGAATGATGACCACCTGGCAACTACAGCTACAGAATTCTCGAGTTATACATAACTGATTGCAAGTATAGCTGAGTAATTTTTCTGGGCTACAGAAACCCATACAAATAATGTAACATATTGTTTACACAGTGGCAGGAAACATCTGGGCTTAGTTGGTGAAGCAGTAACTGATGAAAAATGAGTTGCCAGCTGCACGATAAATACCACCCTGCCAGTTTCATTGCAAAGAGAGTGCAGCTACATTGCATACAAGAAACTGGCTTCCTAAAGAAAATGTGTTAATTGTGTGTACTCAGTGTCCCCAGCAGGGAAGGGGAGCTCAGAAAGGCATTTGAGTACTTCCAGAAATACTATGCTTGATAACACTGTTCTGTAGGAGTACGGGACCTTCCATTAAACTTCTAGGAAACATATTTTTGTACCATTGCAAAAAAAAAAAAAAAAAAAAAAAAAAAAAAAACAGAAAAAAAAAAAAAAAAAAAAAAAAAAAAAAAGAAACTGCAAAATAAACCACATAGGAAATACCAGATGGAGGGATCTGAAGAACTCTGAAGCCTCTCTCACATGCAGAGAAGTGCTGCAGAAACTCACTTGAACATAGCGCCCTCAAAAAGGCTTCTGAATGCACAATTCTACAGAGAACCTCTTCGGCTACTGTGTGTTCACATACAGCTTACATCAAGGTTGAAGAGATCAGAAGTAAGGTTTTGCACTACAGTGGAATTAAGGTTTTGTTGGGTTTTTTTCTAAATGTGTATCACAACTGTTTATATAATGGGCTTACACAGCTGCAGAACCAGCAGTATGACTATGGCTTACACAGGACTTCCTTGACTTGTAGTTTCCTTGCCCTAAAGGTTATGCCAAGACCAGCTTGACATTCAGGCAAGACAATGGAAACACATTAATGCAAGTTGGCCCAAATCCACAAGCGTAATGATGCAGAGTTACAAGTCCAAGACAAAAACCCTCACAGGCACCATAAAACCCCTTGACAGACCCACCAAGTTCAGGGACCAAAAGCTGCCCACATGGTTGGTTAGAAAAGCTTCCTTACCAGCACGGTCATGAAAAAGGCACTATACATAAACGCAGTTTTCAAAAGCATCAGACTCCTAATAGACCCACTCTGAGCAAACGCTAACAGAACTGAGCACCTCACTGTAAAAATCAGTCTTAAAAAAATACAATTAAAAAGAATTCCAACTCTAAAGCCAAATCTTTTAAACCAAGAGGTATGCATCCAGGATAACAGTCCTGTGCCAATTTTCAAACCTTAGAGATTTTAACAATTTCACCCCCCACAGTACATACTCTATGAAGAAATTCATATTCATCCACCTGGAGAGCAAGCATGGACAGAGTCTCTTCCTACCATCTACTGAAACTCTGTGCAAGGGAAGAATTCATGATTAATTGGACCAGGCAGACAGGAGCATGACTTGCAACCAAATAATCAAGATGCTCACCTACAAAAGAGAAGAAATAGAGGTTCTGCTTATTCGCACAAAGACTATTTGTAAACCTCACCCAATGACTGATTAAGGTAATAAATTGCCATTAGGGAAGAGATCAGAATATCTGGATTGTTCTGAGACACATGAAAGCCTGGTTTAATGGCCTGTAGGAGAAAGATGAAGTCCTATTCTGACTCTATCTGTTCTGAGACATTTTTTTCTCCTCTGCATCCCTTCCATAAAATGAGAACAATTATTTTTATTTTAGTGTTTTTGCAAGGATTAATTGCAAGTACCATGAAGATTAAAATACATCAGAGGCATTAATCACTCCCATAGACATTACACTTTAAAGCAACAGCTTCCAGAGAAGAAGAATGACATGCCCTAGATGGAGAAATGAAGAGCTGTACTTTTAGAAATGACAATATTTGTTTCTTAAAGCCTTAATCACAGTATTGTTATTAAAGAGGTATTTACATTTTGCCAACTAAACATTAGTCACTCATGATTTTCAGAAAACCTCAATCCTCTTTTTTTTTTGGTTTGTTGTTTAGGGGTTTTTCCCCCTTCAGCCTCTGAGAGAGAGTGCTATAACTATTTGGCAAGCACAGCCTTATGGTAAAACAGTAGGTTTGCAAAACTTCTCAAAACTACGTTAAACAAAAGCCAATCAGTCAGAAACGAGTAAAGAATGGTTCTCTTTCTGAATACATTTATATTCCTAGAAATTTAAAGGTTTGTTTAGTTTTTCTAGAGAAGACCCTTTCTGAAATTGTGCTGGATGCAGAGCAGTACAATGACTGGGCTACTTTCAGCAAAGGAATATCCCAAGAGCTATCCTTCGGATAGAAACCAACCCTGCCTGCATGAAGTGGGAAAAAAAAAAAACCAAACCAAAACACACAACAAAACACAACCCCCCCAAAACCCCTATGAATACACCAAAACAAACACACACAAAAAACTGTTAAATCACACTTGAAAAAGTACAACGGAAATCCCAAGAAATTCGCTGTTGGGCATCCACTATTAAATGGAAACTTTCCTATCTATCATCATCAGACTTAGCTCTGACCAACTGCATTTCATAGCAGGCAACATTTATTCAGTTATTCTTCTAGATTCTCAGAATATAGGAACAGGATATATTTTTTCACCTGAATGTCCTTTGAGTCTGTCATCTGCAATAATACTTATTGTATAGGTTTTCTATAAAACACAAGTAACTACTCTGAGAACCTTGCATGCCTTTATTAACTCGTTCACAACAGGTTGGGGAACCAGAAAAATAACACTATCATAATCTGAAGATAGGAAAAAACAGAATCTCTAAGGAAGCCTGTGCCTTTACCTCAGGATGATCCCTATTCTCTTGGTCTCTTTAAACACCATTAAAATCAAGTCATAGAATATCACAAGGCACTGACCATCATAAACAATTGGAAACTATTAGTGATAATATTACTTTCAGCATCACATATATTTTAAAATAGGTGTTTTAAAAAGTGAGACCATAATGCCCATAGAGATCCAACTGTGCCAAAATCGGATGCAATCTCTTTTAAAACCATTTTAATTCCCAATGGCTTTGTTTGCGTTTTCAAGACACTCAGCAAAAGAAACTTTTACACAAACTTCTAAGTAGATTTAGCTGAAAACACAGGAATTTTTCCCTGTATTGCCCTCTGTACAA